ACCAGCAGGAACCAGGAGGGGGCAGTGTAGCCAGGGGAAAAGGTAGAGCTGTGTGGTTCAGGGAGCGTACACGAAGCTGTTGGCTTGTGCTGGGTGTCCTTCACACTGCCAGTATGCAGCCTTATTCTCCTCCTCCTCCTGTCCTGTGCAGCTGCTCTCCCTGCCCCACTGCAGAAGCGGCAGCTGTTCCGTGGATTGCTCTACCTGGCAGCACTGAAGAACAAGCAAGCTCAGGCCTATGGGAGTAAGTCCCTACGGTGCCCCCAGAGGGGAAGGAACGTAGCCTGGTGCAGATCACTTGCTTGTGTGTCCAGGACTGCAGGTTCAGTCCCCGGCATCTGCACGTAGGGCTGGAAAAATTACTGACTGAAAACCTGGGGAGCTACTGCTGTCTAAGGCAGGTTGCTCTATTCTGATTTAAACCTGGTGTGACTCCTCAGCAGATATGTAGGGTTGGTAAAGCCCACACAATAAACAAACTCAATTTGCATTTAAAATATGGTATTCCTCATATTATTTGGATGTCAAATTATCCACAGTTTTTTAACACCAGCTATGAAAAGGCAGTTGGAACAGGATCTTCCAGCATTGTGGCCTAATACATAAAACAAAGGCTTTTATCACCTGCAGGCCCCCCAATGTGCAGAGGGTCACAGGCAGAGCTGCGCATGCAGAATGCTGAGTGGGACACAGAGTTACGAAATCAGTTCTCAGTCTTCTTCCTTTGCTTTTTTCCAATGCAAGTTCTAGCCCTTAATGTGTATTAAGCTCCTTAACCATGGAGCATCATCACTCTGCGTATGTCTTCACTCCTTGCAGTGATTAGCAGAACAGAACAAATTATGCACAATGGAAAAACTGAATAGATAATAATGCATAAATTATACCACTATGAAAAGAACAGAATGAAAGGAAACATAGTTGCAATGTAAATCAGGCTGATGAGGTTAATACTATTCAACAGTTAAGCAATGTATTTCCCTTGCTTATAAGCAGCCTGTGAATTTTAACCTTTTTTCAGGGGGAAGAAATAGCGTCCAATTGTCCATGACTTCATTTTCTTCTCATTGTCCATTAGCACCATCTGCAGTTATGTCACTGTTGCCAAAATAATAATAATAAAACATACACAGGAGGAATCATGCATTCACAAAGCAAAGAGGAGATAAATGCCTTCATATTAAGATTGGGCTCTAGTTTCTGGAAAAACCAATGCCCATTTAGAATCAAGCTACATATATACATCTAGCAAGTAAGGGACAAGATCAGTAGCCACCCAACACCTTTCATTATATAAAGAGATAGTGATGTTTTAATTACATTAATATTCCAATTTCTTCCTTTCATAGAATGCAATCTCCTGCTCTCAATCTTACCCCACAACAACCTTGTGAGGTAGGCTGGGCTGAGAGCCTGTGACTGACCCAAAGTCACCCAGCGAGCTCCATGGCTCAGCAGGGACTAGAACCCAGGTCACCTGAATCCCAGTCCAGGGGTCAAGGAGAGAGCAAATCCAATTTCCAGCACTTTCCAGTGCCCTTCTTCAAGAGCCCTCTTTGAAGGAGATCAGAGGAGTGGCTACTGGAGAAGGGCCTTCCCTGTGGCGGTGCCCTGGTTATAGAACATGCTCCCCAGAGAGGTGCGTCGGGTGCTGGCACTTTATTCCTTTCAGCACCAGCCCCAAACCTTTTTATTTTCCCAGCGTTTTAAGTCTTAATAGTTGTTTTAATTGGGTTTTATATGAGGATTGATAATACTGTACTCCCTATTGTAGTACTGTCCTGAGACTTTTGTGACAGGATGGTATAAAAACGCTTTTAATAAATAAATAAGTTTAGATTTTTAGGGCTGCTGCTATTTAGCTGCTGCCATTTAAAGAAAAAGGGCAAGTGTAAAGGAGACTGCTGCTTTGTCACCAATGCAGTGCCTGACTCCTTGGATAAGAAAGCCTGCCACCTAGTGACTGTCATTGGTACAGCAAGCTTCAAAGAGTTAATTAAAATTAATTAATGGATTTTAAAGACAAAATAATCTTGAGGTACATACTGTCAGGATCCTTTTCGTATGCAAACCAAGTTTCAGGCATCTTGGTTTCACGGCTTTGGAGCTATAACAATGACAGACCGACCCACCTTAGCTTTAGCATAATTCACAGGGTGACAGGAACAAATAGCTGGAATATGTTAATATATAACCTTGCTAGTTTTTGTCTCGTTCTCTACATTTCCACATGTTCTTTTATTCCTGGCTTTAATTAGAGCCCACCATATGAGGTGGGCAGGGGAGCAGGGAGTGGTGGCAATACACAGAAATCATAGCAAAACATAAATAACAGAAACCGTGACTGTTACAGTTGTTGTATTGTAGCATTTATTTGGAGGAGTTTTGCTAGCTGGATGGACATGTTATAAGCACAACTGGGACTTAACACAGGGGTTGAACACCTGGTATTCTCACTGGAATATTACCTGGTTTCTCCAGGTAATGCAGGAAAAAGTACTCACTGGAAAACCTGGAGAGCTACTGCCAGTCTGTGTGGACAGAGCTGGCCTAGCTGGTTTAGTTCCTAAGCTTTGCTGCAAGACCAGAGCCCTTAAGTTTTGTTCTTTTTCTGTTCCTTTTTTTTTTTTTTTTTTGGAGGGGGGAAGGTATTTGGACTGTCAATGCATGAGGAAGGAAGACATGGAGAAACTGAAGGCTGGCTTTCAGGGTAATATCTAATGATAGGTCTAATTAGATTTAGAATATGACCTAGAGTAGGGCTTCAACGAGTCCTACTTGGGGCAGCACTCATTGAGTGGGGCTGAACTTCCACTAATTATGGATGCAGTCCTCAGTGTATGAGCTTAAGGTTGCAGTCCTGTACTCCGGCCTGGTGCCCTCCATGTGTTGGGTTTGCAACTACTGTGATGGGAAGTGAGACCAACTTAACGCATCCGAGAGTCCATAAGACAGTGAGGATTCCAAGACTGAATCCCCCATCTTGGAACTGGAAACTGAGGCTCTGGTTCTCCTCTCCCTTAAAGCCACCATGAAAGGAGCAGTGCTGGCTGCTCTTTGAAACTGGGAAAGGGGGTATTTTGGGAGTGGGATTCTGATATGCACCAGCCAAAACAAAAGCAGAAAATGCAGGCGGGACAGAAGGAACATCACTGTTCCTCATGCTTTGTGCTAGATCACTGTAGGATTACATGGTAAGAATTATTCTTTATTTCCATACCACCCAAGGTAGAGGAGGAAGTGGAGGAGGTGTCAATCTTATGCATGCTTAGCTACCTAGGAGTAAGCTCCATCGAATTCATCATGGCACTTACTTCTGAGTTAATCTGCCTATAATTGCACCGAGGAAAATTGTACCTCTTCTTTAATGCTGCAGAGGTGAAAGCAACAGTTGCAAGTGACATTTCGGGTACATTCTGATGCACGATTAGATGGGGGAAAGCCCTACAACTCTCACGTTTAGGCTGGCGTTTTTCTCTCCTAAACGTGCACAAGACTGCAACCTAATCAGATGACAAGACTGAGTAAACTGTTTGCCACTGGACACACATTTAGAAGTAGGAGCAAAGAGAAGCACGGACTTATCCATTGAGGAATTGCTTCAAACACCGAGGCATGTTTGTTTTAAAAAATTACCTAGATAGAGATGGTTTAAATAAATACGTGGCTACATAAAATACCACCTCTTAAATTCTTCCAGTGTGTTTGGGGCGAGAAGGACGTGCCCATGTCAAGGTACCGCGGTGGCAGGAAAAGAGGCTCTTATCTGCCTGCTTCCCTTTAAGTTTCCACGCCCATGCCGTGTCTCAGCCTTCCTCAACCCGCTATGTCAGCCTGTAACTCCCAGCTATATTGGCAAGCGGAGAATTCTGGGCGTTGTAGATCAGGCAGCATCAGGTTGGAAAAAGCTGTCCGTCTGCTCCCAAACGCGCTTCTCCTTCTGGTGTTTACTAGCAGAACAGGGCCAACAAACCCCGCTGGGCTCGATACGTGGAGGACTCCATCACTTGCAACAGGCAGCGGAAGTTTCCCCAGACATCCGGAAAGATCGTAGCCCTACCCCTCCTTTCCGGTCCTAATTGCAGGCGGAACCTTAGTGTCAGCCCCCCCGGGTGGAGGGGAAGTGTTTACTCGCTGTACCATGAGGAAGTGAGCTGGGCTGCTGGAGGGGTTGCAGTCAGGTCCATCCGGGCCGGGCAGGGAAGGATGTGGGGTGCTGGAGGTGGCCGGGACTGAGTCTTTCCCCCGGTGCTCCGGTCCTTGCGGGCGGCGGGCTGAGAGGCAGGCAGGCTGGCCGGCTGGCCGGCTGGCTGGCAGGCAGAAGGAACCGCTCTGGGCTCGCCCTGGGTTGGCCCGGGGAGGCTTGGCGCGAGTTGGACTTGTCGTGCGGAGAATCCTCCGACGGGTCCGAGACCGTGAGGGTGTCTGAGCTAGGAGGGAGGGGTGGAGAAAAAGGGGGGGCCTTACCTCTCCTGGGGGGGAGGTTGGATCTATCGCATGAGCTTTCAGAAGGAGCCTCTTCTTGGCAATTATAAAGGGCTGGGGAAACCAATGGGGGAGAGTCCCGAGCAAGGTATTGCAGGATCTCTTTTGATGCTGCTTTCAGAGCTTTAAGCATTCTCAGATTTCTGCAGCACAACACAGATTTTCTTTAAAAAGCTTCCTTCTGAGGGAGAAATAGGAAGGGTTCTGGATAGGTGGGTATGCTTTGAGATAAGAGGGTTTCTGTGGAATCTGAAGGATATTTTTTGAGGGGGTGGGAAGAAGAAAGAGTGTGGAAACACTTAGAGGAATTGGGTGAGGAGTCCCTAAAAGACCCCCATAGGAAACCTAGAGCCATGGCCACCCGGCGTTTAACAGACGCGTTCTTGTTGTTGCGGAACAACGCGATCCAAAACCGGCAGCTGCTGGCTGAGCAAGTGAGTAGTTACAGCTCCTCCAGCCCTCTGACTTCACGTAGCATGGCTGCTGCGGTGAGTCTCCCTTCATCCTACTGTATCCCACATTTCACTGTTTGAGTGTCAACTACTTAGATTGTCAGATAGCAAGCATGCCTTTTTGGCTTCTTTCTCCTTTGCTTTTCATGTACTCCTCTCCACCCCCTTCTCTTTTTTCCTTTATAAGAACTTGTTGTGATGACAGGTTATTTCAGGGCACCCAAGCTGACTGCTTTGGATCTGACAATAGACTTTTGCTTTAATAAATTGGCCTTTTTAAGGGTAGGCCATTGCACACATTACTCGGAGACAAACAGACTTTGTTCCTAGGATATGCTAAAGAGGGACCTGCAGCCAATCACAGCTGGGTATATGTTCTTAGGTGTTCAGTTAAGATCAGCCATGTGCTAAGTGGCTGCAAAGAAGGCATGGCTTGTTCAGGGGGATGTAACCTGCACCCAGATCTTCTAGTTCATTTTTATTGTCATTTTAGATTCACAGAGGAAGTGGAATCTCTTTTCCAATCAATAACTAAGGTTTAGAGCATCCATGTATTGATGTTGCTTAAGGCCTCTCAGTTCAGTGGGAGTTATGGGAACTTGAAATAGGCTGATTTGGCCCTGCTGGCTCCTGTTCCTCTTGCTTTGCCAAGGCAAGTGCTTGGAAGATGGCCAGTGGAGTCATGTTTAGTTTGTCTTGGGGAGGCCCAGAAGCTTTATCTGCTCCTATCTGACCATGCCAAAACCTTGGAACTCCATTAATGGGGTGATTTTAAAGCTGTTGTAATACCTGTCACTACAACTGGAAGTGTGTGGAGAGGAGGGTGTGGCTAGAGAAGCATCTTTAATTTGGACCAGCTATTCAGAAATGAGGAGTTTAGCATCTTACCTTGTAATGCTCTTCTAAGTGCTGTACTTTTTCTTGTAGGAATGAATGGCAGCCATAAGGGGATGAGAAGGAATGAATAGAACATGTCTTAGTCATGTAGTTGGAGACATAACTGGGAAGGAGAACCATCTCTGTTTTCTCAGCTGTGTCCCAGTTGTGGAGTCCTTTAGAACAAAGCTACCACCAATTTGTACATCCCCACACCTTCTCCAAAGCCCTGTCTGAGTTGTGTTTTTTGTCAATTAAAATTTGGTGCAGCTCTGTACTTCCTTATGTCTGCTATGACTTAGATCTGCTGATTATTCTTGAACAGATTGCTATGCTACTATGGTTCAATGTCCAGTCTGTAAAAGAGTGAAGTGGTTTCTTGCTATCCTCTTAAAGCACTCTGAAACTGAACAGACAGCATATTCTAAAATAGAAACTGCTCTTTTGAGTTGCAGTCTCCATTTACAAGTTTCTTTTACTTTCTGCTTCTTTATACTCACCTTCTTCACCATTCTTATACCAATATCATTTTGGGAGTCCAGCTTTTCATATTGCCGCCTCTTTTCCACAACAGTATTCACCTTTCGGGAGAACAAAATAAGCTGACTTTACACTGCTTTCTCTTTGGGGCAGGTACAAGCAGCAACATCTTGTCTGTCTTGTGTGCTGTACACCTGTTGCACACACAGATTGTGTTTTGTTGTTTCCTTCACATAATTCCTGAAAATGAATGAACAGCCATATGCTAATACACAATTGCCTGATCTGGAGGTTCTAGCTCATTAAGATGTTACCTAGTTCAGCTTCAGGTTCCTTTCAAATCAACATTTCTGCTAGACCAGGAGAACACAGACCTGTATCATAAATTTTAAAAGTAAAATGTACAAGTATTAATTTTGGGTCAGTACAGTAATCTAGATCAAAATACTTTGTAGGCACATTCTGATATACCAGGGTGGGCAACATGTAGGCCACAATGCAGCTGAAAGCCTCAGACCCCCATGAGCCACCTCTGCTGGGTATGCTAGCTAAGACTAATGGGAGTTGCAGACAAGAACATCTGGAGCATTACAGGTTGCCATTTCCAGTTCTGTATCCTGCTTTTCTTAGTATCTGATTTGCACTAAACTGCATGAGCTTCCTTTGTTTCAGTTATTTAGACTGAAGGGGGTGGATGTGTCTGTGCTAAAAGGGCTCTTTTGGTTTAAAAGAAAATGGCATGGTCTGAGTTTTGCATGCAAAGTAAAAGTCTAAAATTATAGTTGCTTTATGTCTGATAACCAAATGCCTTTATCTGCTTTTTTTAAAAGAGAGGGAGAGGAACTGTGTGTTTGCAGGGGAAACCTACTTAACTCTTATAGAATGTATTATTCCAGGCTAAAAAGAAAATGTTATGACCTAGACTTTCTGAACTTTGAATAGTCTTAAGGAGTCTTAACTTTTTTACTTTTCAACCTGAGATGGGAATTCCCACCTCCACTTTTTAATGTACTGTACCCATTCAATCTGCTCTATAAACATGCAATATGAACAAACACAATGGAGTTACAAACTACTATTAAAATATTTCTTAGGAACTAGGAAATAACTAAAATATAGATCACCCTTACTGCAGGAATTTAATCTGTATTAAAAACTCAGCTAAAAAGAATGTTTGTCAAAAAGAGGAAGGGGGGGCACCAGGCCACCTTCTCATAAAAGGAATTCCAAATATGTGCACCAGTCCAACTTCCAATAATGGTATGATGCAAAGAAATCCCACCCAGAAGATCTTAACAGGTAGACAAAAGTGTTCTTTTAGATTTGGATGACTAGCACCTTGAATTTGGCTCAGATATAAACTAGCTATCCATCCAGATAAAATCAGATGGAAATGATTTGTGCTGAACAGCTGGTTCATGATTCTTTTGATTATAATTATGGTGCTGAGGTGGGGTAAATTACTACTTGCCCCTATTTTCCACAGACTTTATGTCTCTTCCTAAAAGTTAGTGCCCCATTTTTGGGACACTTGCCATAATTGAACAGGAGTTTATATTCCCAGGACTGGCTTTCCAAATTGCTAACTGCAGTGCTTGTAGCAAGAACTTTCTGACCCTGCATCATGACTTCTTACTTATCCAATGTGACTGTGTTAAATAAATAGCCAGGCAGCTGTCTACAACATAGAGCTGTTCTCCTCAAAGGGGTGAATTACAAACACTGACTTATTTGAAAACTTGGTGCAAAGGGCCTGTGTTTCCAGGGCACTTCTAAAAATGGAAGACTGAATGATTAATAATCACCTTAACACTGAAGGCCATATTGTGCAGCATATGGTGTGTTCTCTTACAACTAGTGAACTAGAATCCAGGTCCCTGAGGCTGAATATGCCTAAGGAATGCTGCAAGAGGGAGACAGTTCCTGCTTCATCCACTAGCCCTTAAAAGTTGTTTTGTTATATCTGCCATAATAGCCTGAAGTGCTTGATCCTGCCTAATCTCAGAAGCTAACCGGACAGTATTTGGATGAGCCAGGAGGTGAGACCTGTGGCATTCTAGGTCCTTTCCAATTATACGATTATATTCTGTTATAGAGTGGAGTGAGGGCCACTTTTGACATTTCAGGCTATGTATAGAGGTCTGCTTTTCTACAATGGGTCACTGGATTTCTAATTTTCAGCACAGAAATGGTTTGTGAGTAGCTGACTTTTAGCTTGTGAAATGTTCCAGAGTAAACCCTAATACTGACTACTTGGGGAAGTACAAGCATCCTTGAGTCCTGTGCATTTAGGATGCTGTTTTCAGAATTTAGAAGGGTAATTTATATAAGTTTCAGAAGAATTCATTGACTGGGAAACTGCTTTGTCGGTTTATTAAGCCTGTTGCATTTTCAGAGAATTCAGCCCAACATCCACTTCAAAAGGTCACTTAGCACATTTATGTTACATGTTCCAGAACTTTACGCCACATCCTGGAACAGTACACTTTCCACTGCTTTTTTGAAATTGCATTAGAAATAGTCACAATAAAAAGCGGCAGAACACTAAAGGCTTTCCCCTACTTAAAAAGTGGCACAGAGGGAAGTACTTTTAATACAAATGAAACATTCCTGTATGAGCTATTAAAATATATCTGGTTAAGCAAAGCTGCCCACTTGGGATACCTGTACACCTTTCTGTAGAATGAGCAGGTTTTTCTGTCTAGTAATAGAAAGAGCAGCAGTCGTGTTTTGTATTAAATTCCTTTTTAGTCCAGACCATTCATCTACCTTAAAAGGACTCTCTTCAGTAATTATATATGAACCTTCACATCTTTTCTACTTGCTTCTCATTAATGCACTGTGTGTGTGAACAGGCAGTGTTTCATATACAGATTTCAGCTCTTCCACTTCCATTTATTCAATCTTGTAAATAGTTTGCTTTACAACCAGCAACTTGTGAAGTTACATTTATACAATTTTGAATAATGTTTTGAGAGCAACAAAGGTCACTTCTGGCTACACATTTCCAGTGTGCTTTATTTTGGCACCATATTGTCAGCTCTTACCTGTAGTTTGACCAGATTGTAACATGAAATCTTTGAAACCACATGAGTTTCTTAGACATTTGCAGGTTTACTACTTATTTGTAAAGTCTTAAGCAAATAAAAACAAAGTCCTTTCTGGTCATATATAAGCTGTTTCAAATAGTGAATAGAATAATAATGGCTAATATGTATAAAAGAGCTTTATATTTAGAAAATAATTACTTTTGTAGGCCCTGGTTCAAATACTGTTAAAGCCAGCATGGCACCATGGAAGGAAGGAGAAATAATTTCCTGTGTTTGAGACCACTTGTAATTGTACAGGAGCACCTGAAATTTGGGGCAACTCACTGTTTCCCCTGCTGATTATTGTTCTATACAATTAAACGTGTGCATTTAAATACATTTAAATAATTAAATAACAAAGGTATGCATTTGTTATTGTGTATGTCCAAACGTTGGTTAGTATTGACCTTTGCATGCATGCATGGACAATCTCAGATCATTCTGAATGCTTTAAATCAAGCATGCATCCTCATTTGTTGGCAGGTGATCACTGACAATCACACTTGCCAGCATATTTGAGGAGCTGGACATTCACAAGCTCTGCCTAATTTCACCTAATTTCTTAGGTCACTGTAACATATGCATACCAAATTTAATTGCTTCCAAACAATAAATATAAGCATGGTGGAAGTGTTTGTCCTGTGTTGATACTGCTATAAATATTTTTAAAAGCAGTATGAAAAAAAGCTCTTAAAACTCTTGTTGGGTTTGTAACTTAAACTGTGTTCTCTGAGGGATACATCTGACCTCACAAGTGTGCCCATTTTAGCAGGGAAGTTCTACTGCCCTTGCTACTCTGCTGTCAGTGCTCTGATGCCAGCAATGGCAGAAGGATGAAGGGAAGCTTTTGGTCCATCCACTTCCTCAACATACCTCTAGGTTAGAAGAAAAATATGCCTTGTTGGCATGAACTCAGCAGGCTTTGGGTGCATCACTGCCCTGCTCTTCCGAAATGTATTCAAGCCCAAGTCTGTGACATTTCACTTGTGCTTTATTGAAATATCAAATACCCATGCCACTTTATATGCCCTTTATGTGCTCTTAGCTGCATAGAAACCAGTTGGATTAAGAGATTGCACAAACACGGACATATTGTGGCTTCACATTTTATCAGCGCCGTAGGTGAGGATCTAAGCCACTGCTGCTACCTCGGTGGTTTGTGCAACACGTTTGAAACACAGGAGTCAGGCTAGATCAAGCCAGAGGCCTGTCTAGTGCAACATTTTGTTCAATCAGCTGCCTGTGGAAAGCCCACAAGGATTTAAGAGCACCCTGCTGGTCGTGTTCCCCAGCAACTGGTATGCAGAGACATACTGCCTTTGATATTGAGGGTAATATATAGTTGTCACAGCCTGTAGCCATGGATTGCCTTCACCTCCATAAATTTGTGTAATCCTCTTTTACAGCCATCCAAGTTGGTGGCCATCACTAAATCTCATGGTAGCAAATTCCATAGTTTAACTATGCATTGTGTGAAGGAGTCATTGCTTTTATCTGTCCCGAATCTCCCACCGTTCAGCTTCATGGGATGACCTTGTGTAACAAAATGATGCAGACCATGTATAATTTTCTGTACCTCTATCTCTTCTCCCGTCTGTTGCCTTTTGATGGTTCAGCTGAAAATTCCCACAGTTTTACCCATTTCTAGCATAGTGTCATTTCTAACTGCCTATGAATTAGTTGACTAATCTCCATCATGTGTTAAGGATATAGCTATCTTGAGCCAGACATTGCTTTTAGGAAGCATAGCATTGCAAATTATGATTTCCGCATGTGGTTTGTTTAGCTTTTGAATATATAGTACTGCACATTGTGATGGGAAAAAAACCTCACAATTCAGTCTTCTGCATGTCTCCTTAGAAGTAAGTCCCACTGAGTTCAATGGTACATACTCTCAGGGAGGTATGTGCATGTACGCAGTCTCAGCTAGACTTCTAATCCATGTGAGTTAGCCTTAAATTAGTACATATCTTTTATGCACACAAGTAGGAAGGCAGAAGTTGAAATTCATGACCCCATTCAAAACTGTCTCACATTGGCTATATGCTGAACAAAAAGTTTTATTCTGAATTATGTTCTTCATGTGATTACTTTTGTCTTTTCCTTTTGCAAATTAAATCCTGCAACCTAGCTACGCCATGTTGTTGTTGTTGTTGTTATAACATTTCTATGCCGCCCCTTGCCGAAGCCTCGGGGCGGCTTACAACACAATAAAATACATTGAAATACAATAGAACATAATAAATTACCACTAAATACAAAAAATACACTGAGATACAAATGTAATAATATAAAATTAAAATTAACAGTATAAAATAAGTAAATAAAGAATATAGGAGGAGAAAAGAGAAGGAAGAAGAAGTTGCCCTGGCCAGATCATATATTTTAACAATTAAAATGATGTTTAAATAAAAAGGTCTTTAACTGGTGCCGAAAAACCAGTAACGACCAGTAACATGTGAGACTGTTAGTTTTTTAACACATGCATTTTACATTATATTTTATGGTAAGTGGCATTTAAATGTATTACATGATACTTTTATTTCTAAAATAGTTGAGGCTATATGTTTGGTAAAAAATAAAATTCTAACCTGTAGCTCATTGAGATAAAATACTTTGCAGTGGGTTAGCTTATGTGTCCTCTGTTTTAAAACCATCAGCTGACTTCCCTAGAAGCAGGATGCAGTTGTTCACAAATAGCTATACCTGTATGTAAAATGATATTGTTAGAAAACTGGACTAAGCCCAAAGTCCATGGGTAAAGGGGCTCTTTTTCCCTACTGTTTCATTCATTCATTTGACTTTAAATGTACGCTATTCAAATAATCACTGGGTTCCACTCTACAAAATTCTTTCCCTCCTTTAACTCTCCCGGTGCAGTGGGAGCTGTTGCTTGCACCCTGCTTTCTGCTGGGTCCTGTCACTCATTCCCCTCTCTTCTCTAAGGCAAGACTGAACCAAAACTTGGTTTCACAAGTGAGGGCTGAACATATGACTCAAGTAGAAACCAGGTGGATCTATAAAAAGACTTCATAGGCTAGGCTAGGCTAGGCTAGAAGTTGTGTCCGACCCATCGTGACCCCATGGACAACATTTCTCCAGGCTCTCCTATCTTCCACCATCCCCGGAGTCCACCTAAGCTCACAACGACTGCTTCAGTGACTCCATCTAACCACCTCATTCTCTGCCGTCCCCTTCTTCTTTTGCCATCAATTGTTCCCAGCATCAGGATCTTCTCCAGGGAGTCCCTCCTTCTCATTAGGTGGCCTAAGTATTTGAGTTTCATCTTTAGTATCTGGCCTTCTAAAGAGCAGTCAGGGTTGATCTCTCTAAGATTGTCTGGCTTGATCTCTTTGCAGTCCAAGGAACTCTCAGGAGTCTTGTCCAGAACCACAATTCAAAGGGCTCAATTCTTCGCGCTCAGCCTTCCTTATGGTCCAACCTATATTACAAAAGACTTCATAGGTCATCTAATCCAACCGCTCTGCTAGTGCGGGAAATCTACTACTTCAGCATCCCTGAATGGGTAGTTATTTACCCTTTGCTTTAAAACCTCAGCAATGTCAAATGTAAAAAAAGACTTACCCAGGTTAGAGTCTCGCAAGCCATGTTCCTAAAGCAAGTTCCAAAGTATAATCTAGATCCAACTGCTAACTGATGAATGATGCCTAGACAGGTTTGGTTTGGTTTGGTTTGGTTTGGTTTGGTTTGGTTTGGTTTGGTTTGGTTTTTTATATTGTTTGTTGTATTGATGTTTTAGTCTTTTAATAGGTCTTAATATGTTGTTAGTTGCAAGCCACTTAGGAAGGCCTTTGGCAGTTATAGGTGGCAAATAAATATGTGAATGAATGAAGTCAAATAGGCACAAGCCATTCCACTGAAATGTTTCCATCTCTAACACTGAGTTTCTTTAGCACGTAGCTGCTAAATGTTCCCAGCACAATGCCTCATAAGCAACAGTTTGCAGAGAATGAAATCTGGGTGGTCGAACTTCTCAAGTTCAAGACTGAGTGAATCAGGTGGGGTTGGGTTAGAATACTATGGTTCTTGTATTAATACTATGTAATACTATGGTTCTTATGGAGCTTGCTTACTATATGTGGGTTCTAGCTTGCACCTCATTTTATTTGCTTAATGTATTTTTCTAAAGCTTGTGTTATATAAGGTCATTAACATGGGTATTTCTGTGCAGATCAAGAAAATGCTTTCAAATGTATTGAAAGGAGAAATAGGGTATTATTAATATTATTACTATTACTATTATTTCTATACTGCCCATAGCTGAAGCTCTCTGGGGGGTTTACAACAAGAATGGTCTGGTCAATTTAGGGCCCAATTCTAGGCATGTTTAGGCACCCCTTGCCAACCCACTATTAGTCCAGTATGCCTCAGGCAGCAAGACTCTTTTCGACCTAAACATGCATAGGATTGCATTTTGAAAAGCTCACATACTTTCAGAAGACTGCCCTTTGCACTGTTGAACAATGAAATTTCTAAGTTCCTTCAACTGACTGTATCCTGTGCTCTGTCCTGTTCTTTTGTTTCCCTCTCTTAAACTTTTGCTGTCCCTATACGGATGGGGCTGATGGATCAACAAACCGCCTCAGGAGCTGGATGAGGTATAGTTGTGTTTGTCTAATGCTGCTCTTGTTTGTAGGCAAATGTCATGGGAAGTGGCTTCAACCACTCAGACTATTTTGGTTTTTAGTTTTGTGCCATCAGTTCTGGGTTATTCAAGAAAAGCCTACAAGGCTGCTTTGGAGAGAGAACTTGCACTGTCGGGGTTTGCAACTAGCTTGTGTATTTTAATTCCAGATAGCTGAACATAAGCTGCATGATTATTCAGGTGGCCAAGTCTCCATTTAGTTTGCAGAGTTGAAGAGTTGAAATTTCAGCTGAGAGGGAAAACCCTTGAGTCGTGCATACACTCAGCTTGTCATAAACATGCAGTTTTTTTCTGGTATTTATTACTGTTGCAGATTGAAATTTCCCCAACCACCATGACTAGAAACTTTTAAATAAAGCAAAGCCCTCCCCTCCTCAAAAAACAGGTGTTCAGTCTAAACATTTCAGGCTGCAATCCTAGCCACTTTTGCTGTCTAGAAAGTCCCATTGGACTTTTTGGGACTTGCGTCTTAGCTGATGGGCTTAGAGTTACACTGTCAGTGAATCTGTTATGTTTGTTTTGCATTTCTATCCTGGCCATCTACCAAGAAGCTCAGAGCACATTTTCTCATTATGACAAGCCTGGGAGTCTACTTTAGATGGAGTGAGATGACTTCCCCGAAGGGGATACGGTTTGCTGCATGACTGGGTGGGCAGTCAAACGCTTCACCCTAACCTTCCCAACCTGCTAGATGGTTTGTACTTCAATTCCCATCAGTCCCAGCTACACTGGCCAACAGGAATGGTGGGAGTTGTAGTCCAAGAGATCTGAAGGGAGGTAGGTTAAAGGACCCTGCTCTAGATGCGGTACCTCACTGTGTTTGAATCAGCCCTGTCAGGCCGGGCACTTGCATGGCCCTGCTGTGGGGGAAGGAATGAGGCATGTAGAGGGGGCTGTCCACTCTCTCCTGGGGAGTTCTAGGGAGGCAGCGTGCCTGGTCTTGTGCATGTGCCCCGTGGCCTGAGATCCCGCACAGCCCAGCCAGAGCACTGGCAGCCACTTGCTTCATTCCCCAGGGGTTGCAAACCTGGCTGCAGGAGACTTCAGGAGGGACTCCCGATTGCCCATTTTCAGTGTAGAAGTCTTGCCATGTGACTGGTTTCTCTGCAGTCTTCTCCACTGCCCCATTTCTCCCCTACCTGCCCCAAAGGTAAGTAAAAGTACTTGAATAATGAAAGTTCTCTGTCACGGAACTTAGTTGAAATCCAGGTATAGGGGATTGTATCCAGGTAATGGGGATAGGGAGACGAAGTCATGCTCATCCAGCTGTTCCTATTTGAATGTAGAACATACAGAAAAGAGAGAACAAAACAAAACCTTAAGTGGTTTTCCTGTTCTTTTCTTGGGCTTAGAGAAGCCTTCTCCCATCCTGGCAACCTCCAGTTGTGCTGGACCTCAGCTTCCATCACCCCCAGCCAGCATGAGGGAAGTGCTGTGACAGCTGTTTTGTGTGCAGAAGGTACAAGGTACAGTTCCCTTTGCTTCCATGGCAGGCTGGCAAAAGACCTCTTTGAATTTCTGGAGAGCCACTGCCAGCTACCAATACTCGGCTGGACCAGTTGACAGTACTGAGCTAGATAGACCCATGGTTTGACACAATTTACAGCAGCTTCCCATATTCCTATGGGAGCTGTAATCCAACACTTCCAGAGTATGCCAGGTTGGAGAAGACTGCCTCTGAGTGCTTGTTGCTTTCTTCCCACCCACCCCCATATAGGCCTGTTTTTCCTTCCAGAGTCAAATCAAGTCAGTTCAGCTGAAGCACCGATACAGGGCTGATGCCATTGTATTGCTGCCTCTTTTCTCTCACCTTTCCCCTGATAGCTTCTGACAGTAATCAAAGTAAAAGCCAAATAGTGCCCAGTTGCTATGTTCATTTGAGAATGGAAGAAACCTAGACTGTCCCTAGAGTTTGATGCTAGCTCTTTAGGTTGAATCATATGAATTGGGTGAAGTGGGGCTCACTTGGCATTAAAGCAAGTGCTGTCCCCTGAGCCACGCTGTGGCCATATATCTCACACAGCCTGCTTTTGCAAAATTGATTTCCACATCAGAGTTCCTGGAACATAATGTTCTCAGAAACAGGAGCTGATGAGACCCAAACAGAGGAGAGTTTCCAAGCCTATAAATAATTTTAATGTGGCATATCAAGCACTGTGCTTATTTGAGGATCTCTTAATCCTGAACTTCCTTTAATTTTAAAGTAAAATTTGCATCTTTTGTATAGCTTCCTGAAGAAACAATGCCCTTCCATGTGTTGCATTGTCAGGGGCAACTACAGCCAGCAATGAATGCCTACTAAAAGGAAGTAGGCAGGATTTAACTGGGAAAATCTGTCTAATTAGTTCATGGGCAAGTGCTGGCTAGGTTCTCTTCTTAGGCTTGTTGCTTCTTTCTGGGCTTAAGCAAAGAATTTCCTTTCTCTGTGCTTCCGTTTCCTCAACAACAGTACTATGACTATTTAATGAAGGGGCTTGAGTTTCTGATCCACACCTTCCCTGAAGGCCTGTGGTGAGGTACAAAATGCACAATTTGGATTAAATACAATCTTAAAACTCATTTTTGGCCTAAATCAGGCTGGGTGGCACAATATTGCCTGTCCTACCAAAATACTTTTGATTTGTGGGAGTCTTTTGAAGGAAGGATGCTCTTAAACTGTGGGACCAGTTGCATGGCAGAGTTGCTCAGACTACATTGTCACTGGAGGTATATCTTGCATTCCCCTCTGTATGCAGTTAGGGTTTCATGTATCTATGGATTTGGGATATAAAATGCTTCCCATGCTTTGAAAGAAGGCAATGATATGACTTAAGATTTTGTTATAGTAGTCCTGGTACAGAACCTTCTTTAGTCAATATAATATGTTTATGTTGCTTTTTAATTACAGGGTGTTTCAATTGCATTGAAATTACATGCATATCTAGAAAGTGATCTATAAAATAGCAACTGAAATTACTCCCCCCTCCCAATTTTTCAACTTGCTTCATTGCCTTTATGGCTTTAGGCTGAGGTCAAGTGGCTAAAACTGAGTTAACTGATATTTGATCAGATTGTGGGCTTTCCAATCCATCAACCTTTGTTCCACCTCTGCTACATTCAGTCACTTCTGTCTACCTGCTGCTCTTCAACTGGGTAGATGGAACTGGATTTTGTTGCTTTTATGTAAAGTTTTATCATGATAAAAGCTGGTATTTTGGGATCAGTATTTAGCAAAAAAGAAAAGAAAAAGAGGAATGGCTCACCCATAAATTCAAACTTTTAAAGTATTCCATACTGAAATAAAGAATTGGAGAATGCTTTTCATGTCAACATGTGTACTAAGGAACACTTTGCTCAACTTTGCTTTCTGCAGTGGATCCTGAGAGCAGCAGAACTGTATGGCAAGAGTAGGCAATATTTTTGGTCAATGAGTACATTTGAGAATTTGAAGTCCTGAGCTCCATCACAAAATAGCAGTTCTGGGAGGCATAGCAAAGGAAGTAACCTGCCCCACTGGTTGGGCCCTGTGGCCACCCTGCATGAACTGAGAACAAGAACACACTTAGATTTTCTCTGTAAATCCGGATTATTAGATCAGTAATCATAAGCAAGCTCTCACAGAAGTATCACCATTACTCATTTTCCCATTGTGGGCCCCAGCTAAACTTCCAGTTAGGCCTGAAGCTGCCAGGGACACTTAATTGGGAATCCATTAGTCTTTGGGCCTGCGTCTAAATAACTTGTTTTTGCTTCCTACAGCTTGCTGATGATCGCATGGCATTGGTCTCGGGGATCAGTCTAGATCCTGAAGCAGCTGTCTGTGTAACGAAAAGGTTACCTCCAAAGTGGATTGATGGAGTCGAAGAAGTAGGTTTAAATGTAGTATACGATTGTGCTGAACAGCCAAGGAAGAGGCTGTTTTTAGCTTGCTTTCTAAACTGAATGTGAAGCAGAAGCAGCGAGCTGGCAGGAGGCAGCACACTTGCTTCCATATGGCTCTGATAATCCATGGGTTATGTGTGAAGCACAGAGTTGACTTGAATGTAATAGCCCTTGGATTCAGTGTTGTGTCTTGACAAGTTTGGACACTTGAAAACAAGCTAAAATCTTTAGGAGAGTAGAAAGCTTTGTGTGCTGAAGTCTCTCACAACATTTAGATTTCTTTCCTGAGCTCAGTTTCTTAGCAGCGCTCGTTTTTGTCTCTTCTACAAACTCTCGTATCAAATGCTCCCTGTTTACATGGCTTTCCTATTCCATGGCTATTGGAATCTGTTGTCATTTCATCCTTCTGGCCTTGTTCAGAGTCCTGTTTCTTGGTCTGGATTGTAAGAGACATGCTCGAGTCTGCTTGGAGATCCCTTTGCCCTCGAAGTCCTGTGCCTAATCTAGAAGTATATGGGCTGACTGGAAGAAATAATGCAATTTCTGGACTCTGAGGGCATGTTGGAAAGATGCAGTTGCTATTGTACGTAGCCCATGTTATTCCAGAGGGTACGTGCCAGGAATGCCTTGCTGTACAGCAGAGCACCACTCGAGCTTTGGATCCAACCTCATCTTGGAAAGGCTTTAAGGAAATTTCCTTTTAATGCATGTGGCTGAAAATACATAATCCAACCACATTTTCAGTCTGGTGTTGGTTGGCGCTGTACCCTCCATTGCTTCTAATTTTGACCTAATGTCTGTTGCCTTTTAGATTCGTTATGAAATCTCCAGGATAAAACAGAAGATGAAAGAATTAGCAAGTCTTCATGACAAGCATTTAAACAGACCAACGCTAGATGACAGCAGTGAAGAAGAACATGCAATAGAAATAACTACCCAAGAAATTACACAGGTGAAATTGCACAGAAATTGTACAGCTGTCAGTGAGATTTTTTTTTTCCTTTTTTGGAAATGAATCTGATCTCCTTTTCAGTTCTTGTTTGAGTGCTTCTGTTTTTGGTCAATTACTGAAAGAAATTGCAAGGACACTTGGAGTGAAATGTATGCTTTGGTTTGTTCATCTTGCTCTTATAGGAGAAATCACTAAACCAACACCTTTCAAAGCCCATCTAAGGAAACTGCCACCACACGTCACAGTAACAGGCCATTTATTATACTTCTGCAAAGTGGGCGCTTTCCTCCAAGAAATCCACTTTAGATATTGGGTTTGGCAAGACCACAGCAAATGACGTTTAGATCAGTATTAACATGTTCCCTGTCCTTCATGGTCACGTTACAATGCTCAGTTCTGAAGATCTAGAACTAGTGCCATGTGTCTAGCGGACTTTGGTCCTTCTCCTCGAACCGCAGCCTCCCTCGCAACGCCATGTTGCATCCCCCAAGAACCAGGTTCCTCCTCGCTGCCCAAGAACTGCATGAGACGGTGTGATGTCCGTCACTCATATGTAACACTCATGGGCAAAGTGTGTCTCGCACAAAAACACAGTCTGCCTTAGTTTTTCACTAGTATTATTGTGGTTTATTATCTGGGACCAAGACTAAATAGTTACTAGGGAGGAGAATATCGTGACATAAAGTGTATCAGACTGTGTCCTTATCCCAGGAATGTGTTTTTAGTTCTGGAAGTGGAGTGCTTACACCAGTCTCTTCACACTCCTACCCGTTCCATTGTTTTCCTTTAAGCTTTCTTGACTTTAGCATGTAATTTAGGAAAGGAACTAGGGGCTTGTTTTCAAATTAAACTTGATTGTGAAATTTCAAAAACATCAGCAAAAAAGAAGAAAAATGTACGTGTGTGTGTGTATCAGTTTCAATGCATACTTTTAAAGTGAGTTTGTGTATGAAAATGTCTAAGAATTATATATAAATCAGACCAAGTGGGCAAGTTAGTATCCAGTTGCAGATGGTGTCTATGTACCACTCATTCAAATACTGAAAGGGTTGTGTAGTCATCAAGCTGTTGCATTATAGGACACGAGCTTTAGCTGACAGAGGATTGCAGAGAACCCATTTGCGCTGGCCATCTGTTAATGTCCAGGAATCAGGTAGATTGGTAAATGTTAGAGTGTTCCACCAGAATGTTATTCCAGAGCAGTGCCCTCACCACACATGATTTATTGTGTGGAAAGATGAGATAGGACCAGATTTCCTCTTCCATATGGATGTAAGTGATGAATAATAAAAGTGTCAGTGAAAACACTAGCCTTCTGATTTATTTTTTGAGTCTGCCAATTGAAATGCTCCACTTCTCTTTCACTAATAGAAATTGCTTCTCCTCCCCCCTCTCTAAACACCCCCAAGCTATTCCACAGGTGTCAGAGGGCGGTCCAGACATTACACAGCAGGTCCCGAAGCTGTACAGACCAAGAGCAGCAGCTTCTGAAGAACGTTGTGTCTTCCTTGGCCCAGTCCCTTCAGGACCTGTCCACCAGCTTTAGGCACGGACAGTCTGACTATCTTAAACGTAAGCTAAGACCTCAGTGGCATTGAGCTGGAGAATACCCTTTCCCCCTTCCTCCGTCTGATGTAGCAGGGCTCATGTAAAATAATGCATGGCAGGGCAGCAGTGGCCCACAGAAATGACTGTTTGCGTTGAGCCTTCCTCCTATCTGTTTTCTTTGTATCCTCACAGACTCCTCTCAAAGGTGTAACAGTTCTTGAATGCTTAGCTGCCAGAGCACCACTCTGTGCCCTGATACAGGCGACTGAGTACCAGTTGACCAGATCTGTTTTAAGAGTATGTTTGAGCAAGTCTTTCTCACAATATGGAAATTACTTTGCCCCATTTCTGCTTGGACATGCAATACAGGCCAAGCTCTGTCTAGGGCTGAGTCTGAATTCTGATGGGTGCAAACCTGGCTCTGGTCTGCCCTATGTAGCGCTAAGGCCTGCCAGTGCAGCACTGAAGGGTGCTGTGTGTGTACCCCTTGGAACAACTGAAGCACACACAGCTCAGCTGCCATGCAGTAGTGGCAATGTTGCCATGATAAGTGTGGGCCGATGCAAACAGCCCATCCCCACACAAAGCAAGGAGCAGGGAGCTTTGGAATGTTCTGACCAGCCTTGGCCATGCCAGAGATGGTTGGGTTGCAGCTGTGTTGTGCCTTCTCCTCATCCAAGGCATGTCTAACGTCGATGGTGGGAGAGGGGTCCCTCCAGTGCAGTAAGTAATTATTGTGCCGCTAGAGTGTGCCATCGAGGACTGTTAAATAGAGGGGTGGAGCAACTTCTCTGCAAAGGAAGGGATGGGCCATGGTAGAACACCAGTTTTGTGTGCGGAAGATACTGGATTCAATCCCTGGCATCTCCAGGAGGGTCTGAAAACACTCCTGTCTGAAACCATGCAGTCCTGTTGCCTGTCAGTAAGAGACAGTGTGAGCGAGATGGACCAGTGCTTGGACTTGGCATATGGCAGCATTCTGCGTTCTGCAAAAGGCGACAGAGCTTCATGCTTTGAAGTTTAGGAAAACAATAGCTTCAGTAGGGGAAACATAATTGCCATTTAGAAAATTGCATTGTAGAAAAGATGGACCTTGCACCCAACACAATCCCTCTGTCCTGTTTCCCAAGCTAAGAGAGCAGCCTTATGGTTCTTTCTGTGCTGGCTGCAAAGGGATATGGGGTGGAATTTGAAATAGGAATACTATTTCCAGTTCAAACTATCCTGTGCTACCTCAGATACTTCCCAGGAGCTGTAGGATTGTGGATAAAGTCTCCATATGTTAATAGATAAGACAATGTATGCTTTTAGCTTAGGCTGCTTTTTTCAAGTATTAGTCAGATTTATGGAAGATGGATCTTTCAGTCAAATTGGGCAACTCTCAACTCCAGGTAGCATAGCCAGTGGTCAGGAATTTGGTAAATGGAAGTCCAAAACAGGGAAAGACTGCTATAAGCTTCATGCAGAGGGAGAGCGTAACCTGAAAGTCAGATACCCTGCATGCAGGCATGTGGAGGCATTTGAGTAGATGTTATAAGAAACATCATGCAGAATTAGATTAATTTCGTTGTACTCCAACAAGCTGTTACGATCATCAGGTAACCTGGAAGAGCATGTGGGGAAGTAACTAATAACCCTACTAGTCCATTGGACATACAGTCACATGTTTCTTGTCTTGAGATTTTACCAAAAGGCAGATGATGGGAGGGGGTGCAAACATTTTGACCCACTGCATGATAATATACATTGTGCAGCGCTGAATATGCTTCAACAAATGCTTTATTTAGTGACGGTTGGCCCCCTCCCCACTTGTAGGTATGAAGAACAGGGAAGAAAGATCAAAACATTTCTTTGATACGTCTGTTCCACTTATGGATGATGGTGAGGACACCACACTGTACGATCGGGTAAGAGATTTCTTTGCTAAGGCAGCCATTTCATTTGTGTACTGTAGGAAGGGGTGGGGATTTATGTTAATTTGTTTGGTTGCTACTTGTTCCATTTTATCTTTTTGTGGGTCGCTTGTGTTGGCTTTGGGATAAAGGTGCAAGGCTACGAGTTAGTGGGGTGGGCAGCTCTCTGTTGGGGGCTGCATGCTGACGGTGCCCAGGCCCCCAGCCAGCAGTGGGCTGGGCCCGTGGCAAAGGTGGGTGGAGCCTCCCCTTCTTTTTCTCTGTAGCACTACCTTTTCCTTCTTCCTCCCATTCATCTGGCCGATGAGATCAGAACAAATTGCTCTTGCCAGACATCTGAACCTTTTGAATTTAGGCTGAGGGCCAGTTATGGTCCTAGGGCTGTGGATTGACCACTCCTGCCATAATCTGTCTGTCTTTCTGAGGTCTCTGCCAGAGAGCTTTCCTTTCTTCGCTACCCATATTCCCAAATGAAAATGTGTTTACTAAGTTTGGCTTTTTAGATACTTGGTTTTCAAGGGGTCAGTCAGAACCCTATCCTAATACCCAAGGCTTGTTATCATGGCTTCAGTTTTGTTTAAACATTTTTAAGAAGAGGGAAAAGATGGGTGAGATGAAAGAAAATGAGAATGGGTATTTATTGTAGAAAAAATAAAGAATCGGGTGCCTTGTTGCAGGTTGGATTCAGCAGTGGCTTTGCAATGCCACTGGAGTCTCTAGTACTTGTTATCAGGGAATATTGTCATGAGGATAGGATTGAAAGCAGCAGGAGGAGAATGATGTAAGCTGCTTTGAGTTCTTCAAAAGAAAAAGGTGGGATATAAATCTAATAACTAAAAATTTCTTTTCTTTTCTTTTTTCTTTTCTTGAAACAAGGGCTTTACAGATGACCAGTTAGTATTAGTACAGCAAAACACATTATTGGTGGAAGAACGGGAACGAGAAATCCGACAAATTGTACAGTCCATTTCTGATCTCAATGAAATTTTTAGGGATTTAGGAGCAATGATAGTAGAACAGGTAAGTGGCTCTTTGGTCTATTGTATTATTTATATCATATAAAATCCTTGGTTCTTCCCTAGAAGCATAAATGATTTCTGTAATTTATTTTTGCAGTTCTGTTGATTTAGCAGTGAGAATATAACCTTTTGACTGTAAGAGAGTTTTTCTGTAGGAGCATTGGAGCTTCCCAGAATTAGCCAGTGTACATGTGAATAAACACTTAAGACAGACAGACAGGCAGACAGACAGTACTGCAGGGAAGAACCCCAGTTGGCCAGTCCAGGAAACCCTTCCTTCCTGCTCTAAAATGAGGCTCATCCAATACCAGACTGCAACTGTGCAGTTGGTTAGGCCAAGTACATAGGAAAGCAAAAGAAATTTTGGGAATTATGCTAAATTTCAACTATATTTGTAGGAAGTACTGCTTTCTCTCAGTGTTTAGAAACAGTGCTATGTCTGTCCTTTCTTTAATTTCATGTACTATATTCCTCTAGTTTAAAGCTATATATTATTTTGTTCAGGGTACAGTTTTGGATAGGATCGACTATAACGTTGAACAATCATGCATTAAAACAGAAGAAGGATTGCAGCAATTACATAAAGTAAGCATGGGATTCTGAATTGTAGTATTTTGTGTGTTAATACTTTGTCCGTATAGCGATTGATATCAAACACTGAAGCAAGATGTTTCTTTTTATATGTACTGTTTCCATATAATTGCAATAGACAAGGAGTATAAGAGAACGTATCCTCTAAAGTTAGAGATATTCAGCAATTATTTCAGAGATGGCTCCTGGGGACGGTTAAATATCTAGCTTTTTAATGATTCGTTTATTAAATTTATATACTTCCCCATAGCTTGAAGGCTCTCTGGGTAGTATACAATTATTAACATATACCATATTATAAACATTCAGTAAGTATTCACATTAAATAATAAAACCATATAACAACATAACAGGACAACAACACAGTGATATATGCTAACCATCCACCACAGCAGCAGACATTAACACCTGGACAAATCTCTAAATCTGTTGTGGCTCGAGGGTATCCTATTGAAAATCTATATAAAGGCTTGCATAGTAATAATTAGACCCATCTGCCTATTTGTAAGATCAATGCATTCTAGGTAATTAATACTAAATTAAAATTAATAGTGGCATCAGAAGTGAAATGATTCCCTTTCCATAGTGTTTGTGCCATCTGCAGCTGTTGCTGATAATTCCTTTGCAAATGGGTATTTCATCCATTCATCTGTATAAATGAATCCATTCTTCCATTCATGATGAATTTAATCCATCGATCCATTAAAGTTTATTGAGTTGTCTAAGGCTAATCCTGGCCTGTTGTGAGGATAATGTGGAGGACTGCCACATAGGTTGCTATGAGTTCCTTGGATCGAGGGATACAAATCTGGTGTTAATGTGAATTTGCATCACTTGGCCGAAATATTGCACATGCCTGGATAGAAGTCTCATTGAGTTCTGCTGGACTTAGAATAAATAAATTTATATCCCGTCCTTATAAGATCATTCTGATGGTGCCTCCGTACATGCAAGAGTGAAAACAAATGAAAAACACATACACATACACACACACACTAAATTGATCAAAAGCATATGAAAGCAGCATATCTCAAGAGACGTGTACAATTGTACCTCAAATTCAGCAAGAGAATGACTATCTGTACAAATATGCCAATTTTTCAGTGGGTGCACAATAGCATATTGTACTGATTGAATTAGATTCCTGGCTTCTATTACTTTTGAGTGTTAAGAGAAGACTACTGCAATTATCTTATGTCACGTGTGGAGGGATCTGTGTTCATTTGCCAAATCATTCCAGTGCACTAAATCCCTTTTTCCTGTATCTGCAGGCTGAGCAATATCAAAAGAAGAATCGGAAGATGCTCGTTATTTTAATTTTGTTTGTTTTGGTAATTGTCCTCATTATCACCCTCATTGCTGTAAAATTACGCTAGTCAACACCCCAATTATGTTGTTCTTCCTGCGTGTGTGCAAGGTTTGGGATGTGGGGTGGCATTTTGTGTCTTTTGGCTCTTTTTGTTCCTGATATGAATGGTTCAGCCTGCACTGTTGGAAGCTGCCTTTTGGATGAATGTATAGCCCCTTGTGGTGCAAAGTCCGTGCAATGTTTTTAGAAAAGCTCCTTTCCATTTTACATGCTTAGTAAATGTGGGAGTCACAAGAATGTTGGGATTTCTGATGGATACTGCGAAATCAGATATCCTGGAAGTTGAAACACTAAGAAGGCGTATTTTCTTAAGGACTAAAGTGCTTTGGAAAATACAGTAATTACTGTCACTCTGTTGAAAACATAACTGTGTTTCTGCCATGTTTTGTGCAATGGTTAATCTTGTACCTTCTTGGCTGCCTAAGTTTCCACTTGGACATATCAAAAATTATTATTTGGAGGGGGAAATGCCGTAATGATAAAAATGAATTGATCCCATCTAGCTTTCCTTCAGATTTAATATTAGTGCAGTCCCATAGAAGCGAAACTGTTTTTTAAGAAATGGCAGATAATTTATACCCTGTGTGTCCATACTGTTACTAATTCCCCCTGCGTTTTGAGTAAAATGTAGCAGTGTAACTATCACAGCTAACCTATATTCAGTGCTATAAATTTAAAATGACTTCCTCAGCTTTAAGTGATCCAAAAAGTCCCCCCCCCCCCGTCACCCCTATCCTGAAAGAATACTCTGCCTCCTGAACTGATCATGCACTGTTTTTTGACTACACGTATCTTGAAATACTCATATATTTGGTCCATATTTGAGAGGAAGGGCTCTATTCCCCTTCTCTCCCCCACCCCTGAAATCAGTATACCAGTAGGAACCAGTTGTGGTGTAGCCTAAACTTGTAGCCTAAACACTTGCAGCCTAACCAGGATGAAATAAGTCCTAAATAGAAAAACTTTTCTCCTCTGCTGTCTGGCTGCAGAGAAGCCCAGGAGAAACATGGAATACTATTCAGCTCTTATTAAGTGCTTTACTACTGTTTATTGCTGATCTGTTAATGTAGGGGATAACCTCTACAGAGGGATCATTTTTAGTGGCAAAATGCTACAGTTTAACTGGATTCTAAGTGTTGTGCAGTTTTAAGGGCCTTGCTTCAGTCCTTGAAATGACTCAAAAAGAATCATGTCTTTAATTTATTTCAGGCTTTGCTGTTCATTCTCTTCCTGTTGTGACTTACTTGTACAGTCCTCAACCAGTCAGTAATTAAATAATTGTCGTGTTGTCTGTGCTTTTTCTCTTTCCCTCTCTCCAGCTTTCTTCCTCTCATCCACTTCTTTGCACCATTAAGGTTTTTGATAGAACGATCACAGAAACAATCAAGCATGCCCTGCCGTGGTTCAGCTCAGGATGAGGGTCGCTGGTCAGAGAGAGAGGATGAGACCCACCAGGGTCATCTGCTGCAGAAAGTCCAGTGAGCCTAGTGGTTAGAGTGTTGGCCTGCAACTTGTGAGATCAGGATTCTAGTCCCGCTTGGCCATGACTTCGGGCCAGTCACAGAGTCTCAGCCTAACCTACCTCACAGGGTTGCTGTGAGGATAAAGGGAAGAGAAGGAGGCTCATATAAGCTTCCTTGGGTTTCTTGCAATAGGAAGAAAAGAGAGAATAGAAATTGATCCTGAATATTTTTTTAAAAACACGTATTTTCTAAAAATGAATAGAATGGTGCTGTTCCATTTCATTTCAATGAGAATTTATTGCAGGAGCTCTTCCTGCAGGGTTGTGCTTAAAGGTTAGATTTGTCTTCTGCTTACAGGACCTCATAGAAGGATCTATAATAGCTGACAAGGCAGTGTGTTGATCTTTGTAGAGTCATGAATTTCAGTCCCATTGGATTATTTGCCTGTCCAGAAGCATCAGCTGTGTTAATTGAAACAGACGACCCTTGTGTAATAACAAGGGCCTTGATAGAGCGTATTAATTCCCGTTTCTTAAAGCAGGGTGCACAATGTAGGGCTTGCACGTACACACACACAGTTGTGCTTTTTTCTTAGGTTTCTCCTCGTTTGCTCTTTGTGTCCAAAGTTAATGAGCTTCTGCTGGGCTTTCTTCAAGCCTCTACCACAGCCTGTCTTGGATGCCATCCTACTTGTTTCTAGCTGGTAATGGTTGAATTCACTTTGACAGATCAGTCCCAGCCCTAAATTTATACTAAATTTCTAAATATTTAGTATAAGGCATGACTCCTCAGTCGGCTTAAAGCTTTGTTAGAACTAGTGAGTGGTTGTACACTTACAGGAATATGTTGCCACCTGCATACCTGGGTGTTGTCACAGTTCTCTAACAGTCTTCCCCACCTTGGTGCCCTGCAGATGCACTGGACTACAGCTCCCAGAATTTCTGAGCACTGCCCACGATGTTGCAGTCCAAGACATTTGAAGGTACCAGGAAAGGGAAGGCTGGTCTAGACCTACTGAATCCTGTTGCAAGCAAGGGAAAAACTCAAGTCCTGCCATATTTTGCTAGCAATACACATCTGTGGGACTTGTGGTGTTGCTGTACTGCCACAATTGTGTGTGGATGGCTGAAAACGAGGGAAGGTGAATGGCTTTGAATGGAAGGTTTAGTTAAGTTTTGGCCTCTTCCATCTTTGATGCTATATATACAGAAAGCAGGGCACCCTTAGGCTAGTTGATTGAAATGGTGGTGGTTGAAACATAGGTCAGGATCTGCTATAGATCTCTGGCTGGCTTGCCGTGGATCAGCAGTTTTCCAATGGCAGCTGTTTAATAGTAGCAACAAATAGGCACTTTTCCTTTATTAGGATGCTGAAATGAAGACAGCAGGAAGGAAGAAGCAGAGTTCACTTCTGCATGAAAGGACTAGGAACTCAAACTCCTAGCTGAAACGTGCTCAGAGGCCCTGTTTCTTAATCTAAATGTGTCATCTCCCCTTCCATTGCTGTGGTCCTATACCTGGCCCTGTTTGGGGGACCTCATGTTTAAGTAAACAGAAAAGTGTACCCTGTGAGCCTGGTGCCTTTCCAGTCCAATCTACAAGCGAGCTCTCATCAAGGTAGCAAAGCAATACCTGGGCAGAACCACTGCCAACTGGAAGGTTGGGGAGTCGCTCACATACAAACATTTCACCAAACTCAAAAAACTGGAATTGGAGGGGGCAGAGATGAAAAGGCAGAGTAGATCCCTCCTCTCTAACATTGTTTTCTGTGTGGAAGAACACCACATTGTATGAGCCCTAGAAAAATCAGTATGGACCAGACCCAGGTTGTTTGAGAGAGACTTGGATCAGAATCATGAACATCTCACATGTTACAAGGGGAAAATCCGATTCCTACTAATGATTTATTTTCTGTGTGTTTTCTCCCCGTTTTTAAATTCTGCCTTGTGCTATAATCTGACATGATGTCAAGAAAAAAATTGTTTATCTTTAAATAATTGCCAAATTCAAAGAACGTTAGAAATAAAGTGCACTAACATTTAATGTCTACATTATGCCTGCATTGGTGTTATTTATGTAGAACTGTCAGCGTACACAGAACGTTATAGCACAAACAAGCATTTTTCTGCTACAAAAAGCTTGCTTTTAAGTGTAATCATGTGCAATGAATGGGCCAGGAGAACGATAAATGAATGCAAAATAGGATGAAGGCAGCAGGCAGATGCATGGGTTAAGCAAAGACTTCCAATTTCTGAAAGAAAGCTAAAAATTGCTGGAATGTTCCTTGGACCCAAACTTCTAATTGAGTTCTCCTGTGGGGCAGACAGAATAGAAATGCACTTACAAGATTGCTGGGGTGCTCTCTAATTGCAGTGATGCACAATGATATATGAAATATTGTACCATCAGAGTTAGTGTTGTCATATGCACGCCTACTAATTTAATTAATCACTTTTGACTAATGTGGTCTTTCCATCTTCAGATCATTCATTGGCAAGATTGCTCTATAAATCTATTCAGTGGTGCTATTCTCAGAAGGCCTATGAGCAGAATGTTGAGGCAAACCAGTGCTTTTAGTATACCTCAACTTGCAAATTGGGTTTTATTTCATTGTATATATCCAAAGTCTAAAACTGGGTACTTTGTTTTGCAATTTGAAAATTTATTTTAAAGCAGTTTTTCTGCCCACTTTTGTTTAAGAACAAAAACATGGCCAGAAACACAGAAAAATACTCATGGCCAGAGACACAGAAACAAATATACAGATCAAGAGACAAATTCTACATATTATATATTATATTAAATACCTAAATTGAATTCTTATCATGATTAAAAATAGATGGCCTTGCAGAAGAGAGCTGAGTGGGATGGAATGAAAGAATGTAGAAGCAAATCATATAGGAACGTCTTGAGTAAAGAGACAAATCTTTAAAATTTTTTGATGACAATTAGGGATAAAATAAGATGGGTGGTGGACATGGGCATGCTAATATGAAGGAAAAGTCATACAAGCATGCACAATTTAGGCATCAGGGTTTGTTTTCATGCAGAGACCATGAAGGCATGCCTATGGGACACTACGGTAAAATCCATCATCTGATTACATGGCAACCAAGCTTTACAAACTGCTGGAGAATACTTTTGAGGTTCTGTTTGTATACTGTACTCTACCCATCTATAAATGTCTAGTGCACTGTGTTTTCTAAAGGTCTACCATTCTAAAGGTCTACAAGTCTACCATTGCTCTGAAAACCTTTAGGCTGATCAGAAACAACATAATGTAGAGAAGGACCCAGTGTAAGATATGTACATTCCAAAGGGGTTTGGACGCTTGAGATCCTTTCTGTTCATCAGCCATAGTTCTGTGTAAGACTACTGTTTGCAAGAAATTTAAAAATCTTATTTAAAACTATTTATTTAAAATGCAACAATGTCTAAGATTTTCTACTACTTTGACTGTTTTCCATAATAGCTGTGTTCTAGAGATGTGACACTGGTCCAGCCAGACTGGGGGGAAAAGACCAGTGAAACCACAATGGTGTCAAAGATTAACAGAGTTGTCAGAATGGTTGTCATACCTAATTGTGCAGCGTCTGTTTCTGTGGACTTTAGTACAGTTAAGAACTACCATTAATTTTCACTGAATGCTTTCTGTAAACCTCAGGCAATGTTCCATGTATTTCCTTGAAGTGTTATTTTTATAGTATTTTCCAAGGGTAGCTGTAAAAACATTAGCCTATTGCAGTAAAAACAAAGATTTGCAAGACTCAAAACTCTTTGTTTGTTGTTTTTTCCTATAAACGGATTTTTTTTCCTGGGTAATACTCCTCAGAACTTATTTCTTAGTAGGTTGGTTGATATTCCTTCCTTTTCACAACTGGAAAACTATAGCTGAGAGAGACTTGCCTACAGCATTGGCGATATTAGATTGGAGACGAAAGCCCTTGTCCCTTGTTCCTCCTTATGCGACCCCATTTGTCTGATGGGATACTGAGCTATGCATTCATTGGCTTGTCTCCGAATGCTTTGGGGCCAGACTTCTGCAGCAGGTCTGCTAGCATTGTTCACTTACACAATTTAGATTCCAGCAGTCATAATCAAGCAAGAGGCCTATGTGAACGCAGCTAGCTCAGTGTGCTGCAAGAGAGGAAAAGGTTCTTCATCCACCGTACAAACCCAGCTGTGCAATCCACACAGAGTGGGCAGTTTGCATGTTGCTACAACCTGGGGTTCTTGCGAATACAGCGAAATGCTAGCGCATGCTGCACAATCACTCCTGCAGCAAGCTAAAAAACAAAATGGGGTGCCATGCAGTTGTGTGCACTTGCAACGAGCTGGATCAGATCGCGGCTTTCAGGCGGGCTGCCTGCCCCTGGGAAGAGCAATCCTGGTGAATGTGCGGTGCAGTCCGATACCTGACAAATTAAGGATTCCAGAACTCTTATTGATGGCAGAGCAGCAGGGAGGAAGGCACATTTTTTCTGGGGAAGGGTGTCTTCCTTATAGGCTTTTGTTTTGTCTGTCTTACTTTCTTGTTTAAGTTCCCTCCAGTTGTCTCAGTAGGAGAAAATTAATCTGCAACAGCGCTAGGGCTGCCGCAGATTGTGGGGAGTATCTTGGGAATTGAGTGCTGTTGATACATGATACTTCCTGTATACTCCCAGAAAGCCTCAGTTCCTTTCCAGCAGCCAAGTTCCAACCCTGGAAAAGCATCTGCCCCAGAGTTATCTGTGGTAGCTGGATAGAGATTTCCGAACTCAGATCTTTTCTCCAAGGAAGGTCTCTCTCTGAGGCTTATTTGGGATTCAAGAGGCTACTTTTTCTTCATGGTTAAGGGTCTTGTACGCAACCCCTTATGCATGGAACATTTCTTGGTGCTTGTATCTCGCATCTAAGATAATACAGAATATCTTGTTGCCAGAGAATTCTGTATATAATTAAGAATGCCTGCAGATTTTGCATTGCAAGGTTTGGGTGCAATTCTGTGGCACACAATACATAAACCACAAGAGACATCCAAAATGAGAAATCCGCTTCTCACAGTATCATTGTATACAAACTCTAGCAGAAGCCCTAGTCATGGCCCTATGACTGTTGTAACTTATCTATGGTGTATGTAACATAAGGGATCTCATGTTTACCCAACTATGTACAGTATTTTCTTCCATGTCTGTGAACAATTTGTACTGTATGAATAAACCATTCAACTCCAACTTAGTGTGCTTGATGTTATGTTGGAGTCAAATCCAGCTAGATTAATGGCTTGCAAACATCTTCAAGTAACTTCATACCAGTTTAACTTCCTAGCCCCAAATGGTCTGTTCTGGCCTCCAGTAGTTCTGCAGGATCCCAAAGAGGTCTCCCATTCCCTCCTACCTGATTTCTTTCTAGTTAATCTATCAGGGATGGACTCTCTGACCCTCTGCATACCAATCATGCACGTCACTGAGTTCAGTTGGGACTTTATTAAAAGGATTCATTTTAATTTGTCATTGGCCCCAAATGAAAATCACTGGGAGCAGGCAGGGGATGAGCAATGTGGCCACTGCCTGCAGATGTGAACCTTAACTTTCTCTGCAATGTCTTGGTTGGTAGTGCTACAAGATGCTTAGCTAAATATTGTCTTCCCTTTCTGCTTTTTAGTTCAAGGGTGCAGTGAACCGCAGGAAGTTAAAGACACTGCAATTCTATGTCTGTTTAGTTATAAATAATAATTTTGCAATTCCCAGCCAGTAATGCTGGGTAAGTCTTTAGGACTGCACCCTAAATGAATTTTATTGTGTGCTCACTGTCCACAAAATGAGTTGGCAATGTGATACGGCTGCAAAAAGGGCAAATGCTATTTTGGGCTGTATTTACAAAAGTATTATTTTCACTTCCAAATCATGTGAAGTACTGGTTCTTCTCTACTCAGCACTGGTTAGAACTCAGTTGGAGTACTGCATCCTGTTCTAGGCACCACAGGGTAAGAAAGATCCGGACAAGTTGGAAAGGATTCAGAGGAGGGCTGGCAACAAAGCCCTGTGAGGAGAGATTGAAAAACTGGGCATGTGTAGGCCTTGAGAAGACTGAGGGGGATAGGATAGCACTCTTCAAAATTTTGAAAGGTGGTCACAGTGAGAAAGACCAGGGTCACAGAATAAGTTACAGGAAACCATGTTCTGCTGAACATCAGAAGAACTATTTAATTGTTAGAGCACTATGACAATGGAACCAATAACCTAGAGAGGTGGTGGGTTGTCCCACACTGGAGGCATTCAAGATGCTGCATTGAGGGGGCTGGTTTAACTTGGAAGTGCTGCCCTAGCGGGGGGGGGGGGGGGACTTGATGCATTCTTGGTCCCTTCTAATTCTACTATTAAAACCCCAAGTCCTGTAGCCAAAACTAAGCACCTTTGTGGTGTAGAAGGGTATGTTGTGCAGAGGGATTTCTTAAATTGATAAAAAAGCAAAACATTAAATGCAAGCTTAAGTTAAATTTGTTTAGCAAATTAAAGTGCCAAAGGATGCAATACTACCCATGTTTAAACAGAAAGGCTCTACCACACTCAGCTTGCTGCAGCTTTTTGATGTCTAAACATGCACAGGATTGCACCCCAAGAGCCACTTGCCTTAGCCTCATTAACCAAATATTGAGAGGAGCAGGGTAGATTGCTGCCAATGTTACACAGCAGCTAAGTGCGAGTCAATTACTCTCGGCCTAGTTGATCTACAGGCTCAGCTCCTTGGAGAAAGGATGGGACAAAATCTAATAAGGGGGAATTGCTCTTCGCTAATAGGGCAGATACAATATCATTTGTACCATTCCCTACCTACCATGTTTGTATCAAGGAGGGCTTGATACAAAAAGGAAAGGAACCTGCTGTTCCAGGGAAGGAAGCAGGAATCTTCCTGGAACTATAAAAACAGTGAGCACAACTGCCTCCATGCCCAGTGGCCTACTCCTGATCCATGGATCTCTGCTTTTGCTCATCTGGGCAGTTGATAAAGCAGCGTCCCCCATCACATCCTACTATCTCCAGCCACGCTAGTTGTGGATGATGAAGGCTGTAGCCTAGCACATCAGGGGGTGGTCTTAAAGGCACCCAGAAAAATAATCACCGTTAGTCTGACACATTGCTTTTCTCTATTAACACACAAACCTTGGGAGCTGAAGGGCTGAATTCAGCATTTTTGCTTCCGACCATGGGCAACCAGTGGCTTCTGGCTGGCTCACAGGCCATCCACGAAAGTAAAACAAGCTGTTTCCTATATTAGTTGTCCTCTAGAGAGTATTGGTAGAGATATATCCTGCTCCTTCTGCACGGAGGCCCCGGCAGCGTACATAACTTTCACAACAACCGTTAAATCTCACAACAACCCTGTGAGGTAGGCTAAGCTGAGATTCAATGGTCACCCCAAAATGAGCAGTTGGCTTCACAACCCGCAAGGTCCCCCAACATCTGCACAGCTCAGAGGAAGGCCACCTGGTCCTCTCCATATTCAGCCAAGCTTCCCTCGGTCGTAGCAAGTACAGCTAGCGGTTCATGGGGATTGTAGTCCAAAGCATGTGGCGGCCCCAGCGGTTTGCCTAACGCCGCTCTCCCGAGCTCGGAGCCGCCGACAAGCTTCCAGGGCTTCCTCGCCGCAGCCGCCGCCCGTCCACCGACCCGCTATCGGAGCGGCCTCCGCTTCCCGCGCTGCCGATCCTCGCCAGCCGCAGTAGGCAGGCGCGGTGCCGGCCTGGGAGGAGCCGAGGTGCCGCCGCCCGCCCGGCCGCCCCCTGCTCGCTTGCCTTTCGCTGCCGCCGCCGCCGCAGGCAGGAAGATGGCGAACGTGCAGCTGGAGTTCCAGGCCAGCGCCGGCGAGTCGGACCCGCAGAGCCGCCCCTTGCTGGTGCTGGGCCAGCTGCAGAATCTGCACCGCCTGCCTTGGGCCCAGCTGCGGAGCAAGCTGCAGCCCAGGGTCACCGAGGAGGTAAACGCGGGCGCTCGCCCCCCACCTGGGACAAGGGCTCTGGCTGGCGCCGCCGCCTGGGGAGGAGGGTCCCGCTGCCTCGCCCTCCGTTCCTCCCCGAGATTTGCTCCTCCACCCCCCTTGGTAGGAACCCCCGCACGGACTGGGGCTCCCCACTCGCCGATCTGCAAGCACGCCACCCCCCGCGCGCAGGCGGCTGTTCTGGCTTAATATGCCTCCGTCCTCAGGCCTAGGCTGCAGTGGGTGGGCTCGCTTCCTTCTCCTGCCCGACAGCTCTCTGCTCCAGAAGAGAGTTTGTTCTGTGCATGGGCTGCGGATTCACGTGCTCACCCTCCCCATTCCTTGCACAAACCCCACCGAGGCCAGAGGGCAGTGCCTTCTTCCCAGGCGCTTTTGAATGCGCCCCATCCTAGTTGTCCACTGAGATTTGCATGTCCTGGGAGGTGCTGAGCACCGATGCTGAGCGAATTTGTGCTTCATTGATTCATTGCGATGCCCATGCTAAAGCGTCTTATGGGTTGGCAGTTTCGAGCCCAGACCTGTCCACGTCTACTCTGAAGTAAGTTCTCCCGAGTTTAAGGGCACTTGTTGCCAGATGAGCAGTGCCGTGCTGTGTAACCCCATTGAGCTACTGGAAAATGTTCAGCCCAAGGGCAGAAATAAATCTTGGAGAAGATGGGGGACCATAGTCGGGGAGGGGCGTGCTTAAGTAAAAGAGAAAGGGATTAGAATAGCGTGTTTTGGCTTAAAACGTTTACTGCTAGTAAATACTTAGTACGGGGGTAGGCAAAAAAGCAGGCTCCCAAATGATTTGGACATCAGAATGCCACATTCCTATGTCTTGGCCATCTCTGAGTTGAAGTCCCAAACACCTGGAGATCTCCCTTCTGCCCACCTCTGCCATGCAAAATCACCAAATGACTCGTGTGAACAGGAGGGTGTTCTGCAGCCTGAAGGGCCAGATCCCCCCCCCCCCCCGCAGCCTGAGGTTCTACACTCCTAAGGTACTGGGTTTCAGCTTTAATCTCTTTGGCAGTCAGTGTTTTGTAAATGTTTGCATTTGATGCAGAGATGCATATTTATTGTCTTTGAAATGTGGCACCTCCAGTTCTCTGCTTGTACAAAATTGGGAAGAATGGAATAGCATAGGATAGCATACATGGCATGAAATACAAGATACTGGTGAAAAAATCTTCATACAAGCACAGAAGTTTCTTGCTTGCTGTTTCTTTTTTATTTTTCATTTTATTTTATTTTTGGTAAAGACCCAAATAATAAACTTAAACATTAAGGAACAAACCAGATCTTCAAGGATACATCAGAGTGAATGTAGACAACTGTAAACCTCAACATATGACTGGTGACCAGCATCTTAATTTGTAAAGCAGCCTTAAGTAGGGTTGTGGAGTTGCTACATAAAACCTTCAACTCTGCCACCGACTCTTCAGTTTATGGCACCTTCAACTCTGACTCCTTTATATATTAATATAGGAAATAAATATACAAATTAGTTATTTCCTGTATTGATGAAAAGCACTCAGCCTACAAAATGCTGCGTCTTTTTCATTTTGATGCTCTTGTAGGTACATTTTTATGAGAACCACAAAAACTACTAATTCTTGCAACATCTGCTTTTTCACAATCTTCATCTTTGTCACACATAATATATCCCATCGGTTGTTATTGTGAAGTGTTCAGAACAGCCAACTTGGTTGACGCTTTTTTGCCATTCTGAATTTTTTCATGGGGCACTACTTTCACTAATATAGATTCTGGAAATATAACCTGAAAAAATGGATCAATCAAATTATTAGCAGTGAAATAGAAAATTTTGACATATTATATTACAATTCAAATGGATGAGGAGTTGGCATATTTTTCCTGACTCCAAATACAGTGCCAGTGACCCAAGAATTGCTTCCAACCCCATAACTCCAACTCCACAGCCCTGTTTATAAACCCCATAATCCAGCTTCTGGAGGGCCCAGGTTAGGGGAAACTGGTGTAAGCTTTTGTTGGTCGGAGGAGCCCCTCCTCAGAGGCATGTGATGCCCATCTGTGGCCCTTTTCTTTGCCCTTTCCCTCCTGTCCAGGGCTGGGTGCCAGGAGCCATGTGTTCTTTCTTTCAGTCTTCCAGACAAGGATCGAATGTTGACTGCTAACCTCAGAATTTGGCCACATTGGCAGTTTTCGAGAAGTTTTTCTAGGCTGCATTACAGTCATGGCTGGGGCTGAATGGGATAGGGCCAAAAATAGCATGTTTTAGCTTAAACCTCTAGTAACTAAGGAAAGTCCTTTCACATTTTGACAGTGAAAGCAAAACACACTCAAAAGCGAAGAATCCTCAGAAGAGAGAAAGGGGTGGGAGAAAGGGGGGCATTCAGGGGGGCTCCAGAGGACCAGATCTGGCACCCAGGTGGGTGGGAGGTTGGCATCCCTGCCCTGGGGATTGCATTCATCCGAGGGAGAGTGGGACTTGGTCGGCTGGCACCATGGCTGACCTCCATGGCTGGTGTCCCACAGAAACGGGAGGCCGGCATCTGCAGCAGAGAGTCTGGTGTAGGTCCCATGCATGATATGGTGTGGGGTGAGCATCTAAATAAGATAAATCAGGTAAGATTGAGAGTAGGAGGAAAATTATATAAGTCTCCTTGAGTTCCTCGGGAGGAAAAAAGACAGGCTATAAATAGAATAAGTAAATAAATAAATAAAGGTTGAAGGCATGGAAAGCAAGCCTTGATGATTTTGTTATTTTGGTAAAGACTAATACTGGCCCTTTCCTTACATACTCAGTCATTTAATTCAGGGGCATTATCTTTCACCTTCCCTTTTCCAAAATAAAAAGAATCATCTCTCTGATTTTTGACTACCAGCAAAGAAGGGTTGAAGTACTAAGGATCAGAAGGCATTTTACAGCCGTCTCCTCTTGCTGGGATGGATATTCTGTTGTAAGGCAGAAGCAGCAGTAGAAAAAGGGAAGAGGGTTACATATTGAAGATGGCATTGCCTAGATCCTTCATAATATTCCTTGAATGAAGCAGAGTGATGACACAAAGAACCCCTGGCTTCACCCTTGTACCCTTTATATATTTAAAACCCTAAACCTTCTTTTCCCACTTCTGCAGCTCCTTTATAGTAATAAATTGCCTTTCCATCCTTATTGAAGCCACTTAAATAGAAATGGCTTTGGCACAAACATGGATGGACCCATATAATGATCAAATTTATTATCATGCATGCATTTTGCTCATTTGAGAGACCAGGTGACAAATGTGCAGTCCAGAGCTGAGCCACACCCATGAGCCATTGTACACTGTGGAATCTCAGGTTTCAGAAGATTCGAGCTCAACAGTCCCTTAAAGGAAATGCTCATTTTACCAGTCTTCACAGTGCTGCTTCTACTTATAGACATCACTTTCTCTGCAACCGAAGAGCTGTTTTGCAGAGTCCAGTGAAGACAGCCAATTTGAATAAACAAGCGGGCATATACTGAGTCCAAACCTTTTGCCTCCCTAGGCTGATTTCTATGCAGTAATTGCTAGCAGCCCTCCAACATCCAGGGGTTTCCCCATTTCCTCTTCCTGGGATGCTTTAGCAGGGATTCAGTTCACCTGCAGTCTTTTCTGAATGCATGTTACTGCCTTTACCCTTGATTTACAACCCTCCAAAAGGCTCTGACAGTGCATGCATCTGTAACAGAAAGCACCTCTCTTTCCCTGTCTGAGGCTTTGCAGAGATGCACTTTTAAAACATTACTACAACTATGATGCAAAAGCAACTAGGTATGTTCTGGAACAGGAGTGTTGAATATTTTTCACTCCAAGGGCAAGGTTCAATTTCTGGGATGCTTTCAGGGGCTGAATTCCAGTGATGGGCAGGACAGAGCAGCAGACTGAAAGCAGAAGGGTCAGGGAAAAATACATTCCCATGTGAGCTGAACTCTCTTGCTTCCGGGAACTAAGCTGTAAGAGAGGCCTCAAACCTTCTGGAAAGGAACGAAGCTGTGCAAGAGCTGGGAAAGCACCAAATAACTGACGGGTGAAGGAGTGAGGCCAGGGAATGGACGTGGCCCCGGGGAAGGCTGGCTTTGGCCTCCATTTTGGAGGGCTTTCACTCACAGTGTTGCCATGAGTTGGCAATGACTTGATGACACATAACAGCAACATGGAAGGTCACAAAGGCCCACGTGCAACCGTGTGGATTCTCCAGAAGAAGCTGGAGCCCCTGCTCTGACAAGTGGACATGCAGGGACTTTCAAACTCCTGTTTCTTGACGTTATTGTAAAGCATGAGAGTGGGAACAGCCCCCACTTCATGGAGGGCTTTCTCGTTGTGTAATCACCTGGATTACACTACTGAGTGGAACAGGAAAGGGCTGTAGAAGAAAAGCCTTGCTCACAGGAGGACCCAGGTTTGATTCCTGGCCCTTCAGGGTAGGTCTGGGGGGCAGCTGCTGGTCTGTATAAAGTTGGATGGAGCATCAGTTGGATCCACATACGCCTGACTTTCTGTTATCCTGTGTGTGGTTAAGAGAATTCCCATGTTCCCCAGATTGCTAATTGGGAGTCCAAGATGCAGTAAGATTATCTTCTTTAACTTTACTAAGCTGACACTTGGTAATTAGTTGTGCCTCTTCACCCTTTCTTAGTTAAATACACAAAGTATCTTAGGATACAGTCCTGAGCCTGCCTAGACAGAGAAAAAAAGTCCTACAATTCCCAGCCAGTCCCATTTTTGTTTTTCTGTCAAAACAAGCATGGGGTTGTACCCTTAGACCTGTCCCCACACCAGCGTTGATACACTTTTGCAAGGGTTGACACTGACTATCTGGAAGATCAGCCCCTTGGCTCTGCTGGCACACTTGGGGTGAGCGGGTGATGTTACCCCAGCAGGGCTGCTGCTCTTCCCAACCTGTGGTGATCAGGTGAGTGCCAGGCTCCAGGGGTGCACAAAGGAACTTCGGTAGAAAGTGTTTAATATCTGTCCACTGTTCTATTCTCAGATATGGCAGGTGGCACTCAGCACGCTGACGCCAAATCCGACAGACAGCTGCCCTCTCTACTTGAATTATGCCACCGTGGCAGCTTTACCTTCCCGGGTCAGCCGGCACAACAGCCCGTCTGCTGCCCAGTTTCTCACCCGACTCATTCGGAACTGTCTCCCAGGAGGGACCAACCGATGCATCCTTGTAAGTGAAGGGCACAGAGAGTTAAGTAACTTGTAAGCACGTAAAGAAAATGGGAGGAGGCTGGCATTTTCTGGTTGTTGACTTGTTTAGTTTTAATTGTCAGCTTCTTCACTCTTCAGTAGTTAATTTGTAAAACTCAGCCCAGAGGTTCTGGATACCAAGCCAGCACATCTGCATCTGATGTGTCTTGAAAACTCTAAAGATGGAATCTTATGAATGTTTAAACAAAAATAGTCCTGCAGCTCCTAGCACTGCTGGCTGGGGAACACTGGAAGCTGTAGGACTTACTTAATATCTAAGCATACTAAAGATGTGAAGGAAGGCCTGGAAAAACTCAGAAAAATACTGCGGGGGAAATATTCTGAGTGCTTTCTCCTGAAAGTAGAATGGATTCTTTTTTCATTTTTTCCTGGTCCATCACATCTCTAAAATGTTCATAGGACTGCACACTTCAAGAGTTTGTTCATAAATGAGCATTTGAACACCTGCCTGTCCTGCCTTCCCACTGTGTGCTGAACAAATGCCATTTTCCCTCTCAATTGGAATGTAGTGGTTTCAGTTTTGGTGTAGCCCCTTCCCATGTGTAAGGTGTGACACGGTTGTGCTTCTCCCTATATGCATGTGGGCTTCTGATCGGCATCAGAGGTAGCACATAAGGAACCCAAAGGAGGGGTAGTTCATCCAGGCACCATGAATACAGGTGGCAAGAGTGTCAGGCGTCGCTGGTGCCGTAGGTTTCTGCTTAGAGTGGATGTAAAACAGCCTGCTTCGCTTCAGTAGCAGTTGTATGGGGTGGAGTTGAGGGGAATCTAAAGTCTCTCTGTTCAGCATCAGTACTTATCAGGAAGCCGTAGGGAAGTTCTTGGGTTTTGAACAACCAAGGCTGAAATTGACCATCACTCAAAGTAGCTTATGTAAATGGTTGGTTGGCTTTGTCAGCTGCCATCTTGGGCTGTTTAATGATGTTTTATTGTTCTGTCTATGATGCGGGCCAACCTTCCACAATCTGGTGTCCTCCAGATGCTTTGGCTCCCATCAACGTCAGTGCATACACAGGAATTCTGGAATTGTGCTTCAGAGCACAGCGGGAGGGCATGAGGCAGAGGAAAGCTGCTCTACGGCTCGGTTCAGGAGAACCCAGAGCTGTGTTTTATACCCCCAAGGACAAACAGTGGGGTCAAAAGAGAAGGTCAAGTCAACACTGACTTCCAGTTCCTTTTAAAAATGTCTGCAGCGTCTCTTGGCTTCAGTGGCCAACCTCGTACTGATGCACTCTGCAATTTCATGGTAGCCCCTAAGCTCAGGTTAGAAACCCACCTCCAAATTAATCAATCCCTAATTCCTTTCATAGCTTCCTTACAGTTCCTGTCCCAGCAGACGTGGTTCCATCCCTGTCTCAGGCTTGTGTGACGTTTTGCCTTTTGTCGTCCGTTTCAGATGGTCTGTGAGCGCTCAGAGGTCTTTGCCTCAGCTTGTGCCATAGCAAGAGCTTTCCCACTCTTCACGCACCGTTCCAGCGCACTGAGACGCGCCGAGAAGAAAACCGTAATAGTGGAGTTTTTCCTGGTGGGACAAAACAATGGGCCAGTAGAGGTGGAAACACTTAAAGTAAGCTTCTGTTTTCCGTTGGCTAACAGTTGTGACAAAGGACATTAAATACTTGACAAGTTAACATAACATAACATTGGGTGCCTAAGTTTCTGTCCTGTTTCTACACCTTACTGCTTTAGGCACAGGGCTAAAGTGCATTATATCTTTCATGGGAGCTGCTGCCCAGGAAAGCATGTCTATGCCTCCTTTCTTCTCCCTCTCACACTCTCATGATCCAGGGATGCGCACCACAGCCTGATTTCCTGGTCTGTTCCACACCTTGGTTTCTTTCCTTTTATTTTCTTTCTTTGTACTATGCAGTGTATTTGCCCAGAGAACTTAAAAAGACCAAATCTTGTTTTCACAACGGCATTTCAGGTTAAGGGTTCTATTCAAACAGTGCTTGCTAGCTTAGCTAGCATTCATGCTTTTTGAAACATACGAAATACACACCATTGTTGTCTTAGTTCCGTAGAAAATTGGAGCATAAGAAATGTGGAGTGCTTGTGGGAACTTGTACCCTGTACCAGAAGGGTCAGTTGCAACATAATTGATTGTTAAACAAAGGAAAGGATATAAATCTAGCTTGTTGTTGTTGTTCAGTCGCAAAGTCATGCCCGACTTCACGACCCCATGGACAACATGCCTTCAGGTTGTCCTGTCCTCCACCATCCCCCAGAGTACACCCAACTCCACACCCACTGCTCCAGTTACCCCATCCAGCCACCTCATCCTCTGCCGTCCCCTTCTCCTTTTGCCGTCGATCGTTCCCAGCATCAGGGTCTTCTCCAGCAAGTCCTTCCATCTCGTTAGGTGGCCAAAGTATTTGAGCTTCAGCTTTAGTACCTGCTTATCCCCCAGGGTTACTATGATGCTGCCTTCATTGTGTGTTTGTAACTACACCAGACTTTTCTGCCCTGCTAGGCTTCAAAAGCTGCCTGACACCAAACTCATGTAACTAGTCTCCACTCTTCACTACAGATTTTTATGGTACTTTAATTATCCTGAAACTGGAAAGTCCTCGAGCAATGTACAAATTATGTTGCACAGTACATCAGCACATCACATTTCAACATCTGATGTTAAAATGCATGTGTGTTATGTAGTCAAATGCATGCGCACACACATCTTTCATTTTTTGTCATTCCCAGTGTCTAGAAAGCGCTACAGAAGGCGTGAGGCTGGCTGCTCGGATTGTAGACACCCCTTGCAATGAAATGAATACTGACTGCTTTCTGGAGGTGGGTCATCTCTTTGAGAGGGCTCTCCATGGAATTTTGTTTCTAGGCGGTGCTACAGTCATCCAGCGAGACATTTGCACATGATCCAGCACACCTGTAAAATTGATCCTGGGCCGTCCCATTAAAAAGCAATTTAAGGTTGGAACAAGGAAGGAACTCCCTTCCCTTTTGCTTATCCTGCCGTTCAAATTTCAGCAAATCAGCCAAAGAGCCTCTTACTACCTGTCTACTGCAGAGGATTCCAGAACATATTTTAAAGCATGTGCTCGGTTCCCCTGAGGCTTGCTGCGCCCCACTGTTGCTCTGTGTGGCGAGAGTGTGTCGGCACAGCGGGGACCGGCCCAGAGCATGGTTCCTCCTGGTACACTCAAGAGCTGTCCTCCACCCATTCAAGGCAAGGTTCATGGCACTCGGGGCTGAGGAGCCAACTGTGTAGGTGTCTGCTGATAGGTTGTTATTTGGCACCTGCATTAGGAAATCCCACAGGTGCCTCTACCTGGCAGTAAAAATGCAACAGTCATACATTCAATACGTAACAGCTAGTTCTTTCATGACTCCAAAATTAGGTGGCCAAGGTAGCCACCTTAAGGCCCAGCTCCTGAAGATGCAGACTACTTCTTTCTTATGTTTCTGGCCATCGCTCCTCCAAGGACCTCAGGGTGGTCTGCCTGGTTTCTACCCACCCCACTGTTAGGACAGTAGTAGATTATGCAATTGATTTCCACAGAAGCTTGTCTGAAATGGCTGATCTACACATGCAAGAATCCAAAGGTTCTCCAGAGCACAGTCTGAAAAAAGCACTTGTAGGATACAGCATCTGGGGGAATGTTGTTCTTGTTATTGATTTTTCTATACCGTCCCATCCCGTGAAATTCAGTCTGTAAACTGGGTGCCACAACTGAAAAGGCCCTCCTGCTGGTCGTTGAGCTTGGTTTCTGGGTGGACTGCTTCTGCAGGGAGGTGGTCCAAAACACTGCTGCATGTTCCTTTCAATTGTGGCTCTTGGGTTTTCAACAAGGGAAGGAAAGAGTGTTCTCATTTGTCGCTCATGTCTTCCTTCTTCCCTCACAGGAAATCAGAAAAGTTGGAAAAGATTTGGGGATCGTCCCAACCATTTTTCGAAATGCAGAACTGAAGGAGAAAGGATTTGGAGGTCAGTCAAACCAAGGGATTTGCTGCTTTCCTTATACTACTAGCCTGCATGCACCAGTTTCCAGAGAACATCTGGGCCTCCCATTAGGGATGGGAGTATCAGCCTGGAATCTCCTCTCTTGCACTTACCAGACTCCTGCCCTCTGCTCAGCTCCAGCCGGGAAGTGAGCTGAGCTGAGACCAAGTCTGCAAAAGGTCGGGAACACTAGCCAGTGTGCAAAGTGCAGATTCATCTTGCCAAGTATATGAAATACATAATTCTTTGTGCAATGTCTGCAGAGCCCACGGGTCCCATATGCAAAGGCAGAACGCCGCTTGAATTCGCTTCCCGCCAGACACACACATGAATGCTTGGCGTGAGGCAGACTCAGGGCAGAGTGACAGCAGACTGGAGTCCAGGGCGCTGAGCTGAGCAGATCTGACCCATGTCCACCTCCAGGCAGATTCCTCACACCTCGCAACCTCCCTGAGCCAACTGTTGGCCACTGCTGAAACAGACCCTGGATTAGAGAGACCTTTTGTTTGGTCCAGTTCTTTCGTCCTTAAGAGTCGACTGTGACCCTGGCTCTCTGAAGACGCTGCATCCAGCATCCTAGAGTTCAACAGCCCGTGACTGATACAGACCTCATATGTGGCCAGGATATGGCCTGTGGGTTCCCTGGAAAGTAATTCTTGCAGGCTTCATGACATTCTGTCCCTCCCTGTTCCCAGGTATCTATGGAGTTGGCAAAGCGGCTGCGCATCCTCCTGCGCTTGCTGTGCTCAGCCATACCCCGGAAGGGGCGACGCAGACGATCGCTTGGGTTGGGAAAGGCATTGTCTACGACACTGGAGGGCTTAGCATCAAAGGAAAGGTGCGTCTGCTTGGAATAGGACTATGGAGAACCCAGCAGTGATTCTGCGGGCATAAAAGTACACGCTTGTGCATGCATATGAACTTGTACATGTACAAATGTAGCTGTGGAGGCTTAGCATTGCCAGCACTTTACCATTTATGCGGAATAAAGTACGTTTAAAAAAATACAGGTCTCCACCCATGCAGCATGCAACCAAATTACACTCAGGGAAGGAAGGAGAGGATCAGCAAAGGAAAACAAGCAGATCCAGTTTTGACTGGGAAAACATAAATTCAGTTGGAGTTTTAAGACTGGCAGATTAACTGCACAGTTAAAATTAATGCAGATTAACTGCATAGCTGAAAAAAATCCTGCAGTCCCCAGACTCCCCAGGCCTACTTTGTACTTTCTTTACAGAGGCTTTGCTGGGCGGGGAATGCTGGGAATTGTACTTCTTTCCATCTAAACATGCATAGTATTGCACCTTTGTATTCCGTTACACACCTACCTTGAAAGAATTGTGATAGGTCTTTTTTCCAAGTAGAAACATTCTGGATTGCATTGTTAGCTTTGCAGTGCGAATATTTTATCATAATAATTAGTTCATGTGCTTCTTCTTACGTTTGGCTAGACAACAATGCCTGGGATGAAACGCGATTGCGGTGGAGCTGCTGCTATTTTGGGCGCCTTCAAAGCCGCCGTAAAGCAAGTGAGTGAAATTCAGCCGATTGGATTAGATGTCTTCCCATTTCGCTGTGCAATTTCAATCTGAGGTTCAGTAATTCTGCGGTATTCTAGTTATACCACCAGATTTCCTAATTTTGACTGTGAGAAAATCCACATTATGTAAAATGTAAGTGATCATCTTCCCACTGTGGAAGCTCTTCTTGGATGTTCCTCTCTTGCTCTTCTTGTGGTTGTACATGACTTGCTTTTGCTAAGACGTCCGTAGAGGCTGAGCTGTTGTCCTCACACATAGAGGAACACATATAACCTACCACAGGCTTTGGGTTATTAGGGGTTGTTTCACCTACCCACAAGCCATGTTACTCTAGTTGTGTCAGCACAACATGCTTCCCATGGCCCAAATCAGGGCCATGGGCAGCTAGAGTAAAGCAGTGAAGAAAACCAGACTTAGCTGCATGTTATGCAATTAACACAATGTGTGTGTGAGTGCTCCCTCCCTCCCTCTCTCTCTCCCTCTCTCTCTCCCTCTCTCTCCACACACACAGAGAGAGAGAATGAGAGAAATATAACCAAAGTGACAAAATGAATTAAGGCAGAAAAACTGATAAAACCACATATCCAGCAAGCCCAAAGCTTGGAAGAATAGGAACTGTTTTTCTGTTTTGACTTGTATGCCAACAGGAAGGAGTCAAACAAATCCCCCAGGGCAAAGCATCCCAAACCTTGGTGCAGCTAGAAACCCTGTCACATGTTCCTGCCAACCAAAACTCAGATGTTAGCTGGACACAACAAAGGCCTTCTCCTGATTACCTCTGAAGGCAGGTAGACTTTTGGGACAATTAATTTAGCACTTGATGAAACTGTGATCCAACTATCAAAAAATTTGTCTTTGAGCTGTTGAGAAAGGTTCCATCCACAGAGGTCTGTCCTGCCCATGCCTTTGGTATTACAACCATGCTATATGAATATGGTTTTATCTCCATTCATCTCCAACAAATGCTAGAATGCTAATACATCTGACAGAACCGGTGTACATCTGACAGAAGAAACATCAAGATCGCAGTGACTCTTGCTTTCATCGTCCTTGCTGTCAAATTGCCCCCCAGTGACTGCCCAGGGTCAGAAGCAATTGCTCTTCCAGTTGCTGCTCTTGACAAGACCTATTGGGAACCTCACATTAGCCTGGAAGGAGACTTGCAGCTGTTTCTTCTGACCACAGGAGCAGCATCTGCACACATACCTTTCCCAAAGTTAGGAAACTGGCCGATTGAGCATACTGGTCCATTGTGGATTGCCTGTAAACCAGTTTCCCATCAGAGCTTTTGGATGACAGTGCCCATCACAGCATGGCCATGTTGGCTGGGAGAAGATGGGAGCTGTAATCCAGCACCTCCAGAGGACAGTACGTTGAAGAAGATTGGTTTATCTACTGACTGGCAGTGGCTCACCATGTTTTCAAGGAGGAATCTTTTCCAATCCTACCTGGAGATGCCAGAAGTGGCATCAGGGACCTTCTGTGTGACTCTGCTCTACCACAGAGTTAATCACCCTTTCTCACCTTTTATTTATTGTGTTTATTATTTGCAACATTTGTATACTGCTCCATATTCCAGTACGCAGACTTCAGTGCAATATACAACAAAATGGAAGGGGTCCTGGATGGGGACTTGCACCTCCTTGGCTTCCCTGCAGTTTGGGATGAGTGGGGGGGGGTTATTCCTCCCCCACGTTTGGCACTCCTAGAATCATTGCACAGACTCTTGACTTCAGAAATAATGACCCAGTGTCTAAAATGAAGCTAAACATAGCACAGAATGTGTGCAGCCAGACATGGAAGAGGGGATGGGGCTGAGACAAAGGAAATGCAAGGCTCGGAATACATGGACGATCCAGTAGAAGTCATTTTGAAGAAGAAAAAGGCCTCGGAAATTCCATTCTCACAATAAATCCTGCTGCTGTGAATCTTCCTGGCAGTCTTGATACGGCTTCGCTCTCCCTGTCGTCACATTGAGTATCCAGGGCTGTAAAAGAATTCTCTGCAGTGATTTAATGAGCAGCAGGTCAGCCAGGAGAGCTGGTCAGGAAGGCTCTCAAATGCTAAATTAGCATTTCCCAGGGCTGTAAATGGCATATTTCTTGTGGGAGTGATACTGAATGCTTTGTTTGCAACTCAGAGTGAATCTTTGTTTAGCAAAACAAAGGCACACAGAGCTTTTTCCCTAAAAATTCAAAAATTACATTAAAAAGAGAGGAAGGCAGAGGTTTGCCTGTGATTCAGTTTAACCAATGTCAGCCAACCTTTTTTGGAGCCACTCAGTTTTTATGTATTCTTATCCACTGCTGTTTTTAGATGCACATACAGGTTTCTAAATATTACTGCTACTATGATAGTTAGTATTACTGCCGCTACTTTTCTGCTGCTTAATATGCTAAAACCTTGGAGTGGTTCATAATTCAGTTTAAAAGCCAATATAAAAGCAGCATAAGAATAGCATAATAAATAATTAAAAAGATTACAGCAAAGACAATAGTAAAATCTAAATAGGTTTAGATAACCTTTCTGGCATTGATATGGTATAATACATGTTTTATAGCATGTTAATGGGTCTTAAACTGTTTTTCTTTGTAGTAATGTTCATGTGACACTTGGCTTATTTTTAGAGCTTGGAAAAGCACATTTATGGATGCATTTTAAAAGTATGCTGCCTGTTATGTGGTTAGACATAATGGTGGGATGTATTCCCTGGGGTTGGCTTTGGCACATGGCACATAGCTCAGTTTTCCTGAGAATTGTGGAGTTCACTTTACAAAGAAAAAATTCCTGACACCCTCAGAAGGAAAAGGAGGAGACTTTAAGATGGCAGACAGATAGGGCAGTCTCCGGGGTTGCGACTGTGCTTGTGTTGTGCTTGCAGGTTCACCACAAACCCAGCTGGAAGGAGGGTTTCCCAATGGAATCCAAGAGACAAGTAGAATGCTTGTTTCCAGAACAGGGCAGTTCCACAGAGCTCCCTTTTGCAAGCTCCACCTGCCTGCACCAGTCCAGAAATACTATTCTGCGACATTTTCATTTGCTTTGGGAGCCACTAGATTTAGTTGCTGCAAGCAGTAGATCCTATGGACATATGGGCAGTATTGGATAATGTCTCTAAATAAAATCAATTTAAGATGCAATCCTATGCATGCTTCAAAAGAAAAAGTCCTGAAAGAAAAGGTTGTAGGGTTTTCTTCTGTCTGAACATAGGATTATGGCCTTAATTATTTCTATTTGTTTATAGGAAAAACCATGTCCCACGTTTCCTCTCCTAAAAGGAATTGCTTGGGGGAGTTTGCAAAGTATAAAAAAGGGCAAAATCAGAACTGGGAAAACTCTGGCTCACATTGTAGTTGTTGCTGTCAGGATTCCCCTGGCCAACTTCAGTTTTCCTCCCACCCCATGCAAGTGATAGGGCTTGGAAAAGCTTTCCCTTAGGACCGCTGGGAGATTTCAAGCCTAATTTCTGTATGGCAGGAAGCTGATTTGGGAAGCTTGTACTTGGGAAGGGAAGGACTAACCCTGTATGCTATGACTTCCCCCAAAATCTCTCCTAATGCTGCAGTTTGGCTTGAAAAAGCATTTCATTGGAGCCAACACGAAACACTTTTCAAGCAGAATTGCAGCATGTGAGATGATGGGGCTGCTGCAGATGGAGTGAGAAGAGTTAACCACCCTTTCCCCTGTGTTGTGGCCTCCTCCATCCCCCTGTTCTGCAAGTCTCTCTCCTTGCCCTCCTCCTAACCCTTTACAGATTTTTTGTTTGAAAAATAAACTATTATTACTCTGGCAGTGCTTGGAGTAGATTTCCCAAATGGCATAAGTAATCCTCACCATCATCTTACTGTGTGATGTCTCTCCCGTTAGCTTCTTAGTGGGTTGCAGGTCAAACTGTTTTGTACCTTCCTGCAGGTGATACGTGTCTCTTTTTCCCTCTTGCAATAGGGCTTCAAGGATAATCTGCATGCAGTTTTTTGCTTGGCTGAGAATTCTGTTGGCCCAAATGCAACAAGACCTGATGATATCCATGTTCTCTACTCGGGAAAGTAAGGTTCATTCTCCTTCTTTCTCTGTTCCCATGCCTAACTACTAGTGCTTCTCCACCTGCTCCCAGCATACAGGTGTAGAGCTGAGGGAGTACTGATGGTCCCTAAAGTATATACAAACGCAATATTGCGAGCAGGTGCGGAAGAAGCAGAGGATGCTGCATGGAGCTCAAGGTTTAGCTTCTATGAATCTCTGCTTTCGTTGGAAAGAAAATCAAGTGTCTAGCCATTATGATGCCAAGTGCATGGACAATACCTGGTGAACTCTCAGGCACCAGAGGTGTTCCCAGTGATTAAGGGCAAGCACTGGAGTACATTTGGGTGAAGAGCAACAGGAGCAGCTGCAGAACAAATTGTGCAGCACAAGGGACAACTGCAGATATGGCCAAGGAAAGAAGCCTGCAGGGGACATTGGGACTAGAAGAACCACTTGGCCTGCCGGTTGAGTGTTGTTCCACCACCTTGAAGGGTCATTCACTGTTTGCTTATCACATCTTTATGCCACCCAATGACCAAAGCTCTCTGGGTAGTTCATAGTAATTTACAAACAAAAAAATCAGTACAAGGATTTAAATGGTAAAAATGACAGGCTAAAACAGAAGCAAAATCAAAGAGAGACCTAGCTGTTTGTCAGGATTTAAAGTCGTCACCCTGTCCCCGACTGCCACCTCAGAGGGAGGCTTGATTGGTGGCAACAGGGAGAAGGGCCTTTTCAGTGGTGGTCCCCTGGTTACGGGACTTGCTCCCACTGAGGCCTGCCTGGAGCCAACTTCCCTATCCTTTTGGTGCCAGGTAGACTGTCCTCTACCAAAGCAGAGCATTCAAGTTGTTTGCTATGACCTGCTAGCTGTTAAACAGGTCTTAATTTTTCAAGTTATGTATGTTAATCGGTTTTAAATTTGGTTTTGTAAACTTTTGTGATATCTTATTAATACACTGTATCTTTTGGTGTTATTTTAATGTTCTGTTGTGAACTGCCTAGAGAGCTTCTGCTGTTGGGCCTTATAGAAATTAAATAGACACATCCATACATCCAGTGCTGGATCTAAAGCAGGCCAGTGTATAGTCATGGATGCTCATGGATCCATCACTGCTGCTGCAGGACGGGCAGGTCGCCTTGGTGGCAAGGAATGCCACTTACCAACTTGGACTGATATGCCCGTGGTTACCCCATCCAGACAGAGCAGCCTGGCAACACTTGATTCAAAAAGTGTTGGAATGCACCAGAGGTGTGCCGAAAAATTCGAGAACACGGAGGCATTTTAACATGAGAAATAGAATGAATGCAATATGAATCTGCCCAGTTCTATTTATTTTATTTTTCTAATTTTAAAGCATGGACCTTAAAAAGAATAAAACCCATATTAGAGTTTTAAAAAACAAAATATCAATAAAATACCATGACTGATCTGTCGGTCAAGGAAAGCTTCTTGAAATAAAGGTATTTTCAGCAGGTGCCCAAAACAGCACAATATTAGTGCCTGGCTGACCTCCAGAGGCAGGGAGTTCCATAGGAAAGGAGTCACCACACTGAAGGCCCTTTTCTGAATTGACCCCATTTGGGACATTAGGTTTATGTGGAGCTGCCAGGAGCATGCTGCCCGATGACCTTGCGGAATGGGCAGGTTCATAAGGGAGAAGATGCTTGCAAGTTGCTTAATATATTTTATTCTAATGTTTATATTTTTAATGTATGATTATTATTATTTAATTTATTGTTGTAAGCCACCCCAAGGCTTCGGCGAATGGGGCGGCATAAAAATGTTTTAATAATAATAATAATAATCTTCTGCAGTACTCATGTCCTTCAGCTTAGCCCAGGACTGAATAAGTAGTCCATGCTGAAAAGAAGCAGGTCAGAAGAAATATTCTTGTCTCTCATTGGTTTCCACCTAAATTGCATACTCTGATGTACCTAGAAGATGTGTTTACCTTTAAGAAGATAGCAGGTCAAGGGAAAATTAAGCCAGTCTGGAGTAGATTCATGTATAAGTGGGTGCTCTGAAATGTTACCTCATTTTCAAAACAATGTTATTCTGCCCTTTCCCCAGAACTGTGGAAATCAACAACACAGATGCCGAGGGCAGACTGGTCCTTGCTGACGGAGTTGTGTACGCTTGCAAAGATCTTGGTGCGGACATCATTCTTGATATGGCCACTCTCACTGGTGCTCAGGTACTTTGGTTATCAAGAGAAGCCTTGCTGCCCACTCTGCCTGCTTGTGATCGCTGCTTCAGACTGCAAGTGCCTTTCTGAGGTCCCATCCACATGCGGCTGCATTTGCATGAGGTTTTGTACAAAGCTCTTCAGAGGTAGACCGTGACATCTCCCTTGGAGGCCTAGCAGAGTTGGAGCCTGAACATCTTCTAGGAGAGCCAGAAGATGTTCTTTGGGATGGTTTTTGGTAGCCAGTATCAAGGTACCTTAATGGTGGCCACCAAAGCCAGCCCAAAATCTGACGGTCCCTGAAGATGTTCTGACTGAAAACCCCACGGAGCATCCAAGGAGAAGTGAAAGGTGGTAAACTGGGGAGGGATGGAGCTCTTCGGAGAATGGGAGGAGTCCAGACCTCTGGACATCCCAGTTACCTGGGCGCCCTTCCCTTCTCTCCAACCACCATTTCTGTGATGGTTTCCCAGCTTTCTTCTTGTTCCCCCGCCCCATTCTGAAAGGTCCAGATGCCTTTCCTGAGGCTGAATTACTGGCATTTAGACCTTTAAAACAGGGTGTTATTTTTTGACCCCTTGTCCCCTTTGCCTTACCACCTTTTACTTCAACCCCACCAGCACCAGGGCATGCCCCCCACAAGCTTTTCTGAGTTCAAATTTGGCCTTTGGGCCGAAAGTAGTTCCCATCCCTGCAATGGGAAGTTGGCAGGGATAGTTAATGACTTAAGTAATTGTATCCAGAATGGTATTTTATCCTTGCCAGTAAATTAAGTTAAGTGGGAAAGGTTCACTTGCTGAGCAGCACTCGGTGAGATTCCCAGTGGCGCAAGGATTTGGATCTTTGTTCCTGTGTTGTAGCCAAAGGAGCACCATAACTCTCCACTTAACTCTTTCACCACTTAAATCAGATATTTGTCTTCAGGGACTGACCTCCACAGCATGTTTGCTTGGCACGGAGCCCCGGTATTCTGCAAAGAATATTAGGGCAATTCCAGGCTGGTGCTCCATCCTTGTGGGATGTTTTTGAGACCTCGCCTCCGTCCTGCACCAACCAAGTTCCGTCCTGGAACACAGTCAAAACACCGCTGCAACGTCACGTGGCGGGAGAGGATCAGTAGTAATTCGCCAACTCTGTTTCAGGGAAAGTTGCCTGCCATTTCTGATCTCAGTGAGGAGCTTCAGAAGGAGCTGATAAGCTTCTGAAGAACCCCAGCATTTTCTGTAACATAGTTTCGAAAGCCACTGTGATGAGAGCTACACCAAGGTGGGAAGGGATGTGTTCCTGCAGTCCTTTCAGATGCAAGCCCTTCAGCATATGCATGAGCGTTCGCATGCATGGCATGTGTGGTCTGCCTGCTGCCTTGTCCCCCTTCCCCGCCTTCTTGTCTTCTGCCACGGCATCCCTTCATCATGCTTCTGTGATGCACTGTTCATGGGGCAGCCTTTAAGGATGGTCTGGGATGGTCCCCAGGTGGAGACCTGTGGAGGCAAGGACATCTGGAGGACCTTGGTATTCTGACCATGTTCTGCACATCACACCTCTTCCATGCGTTGACTGCGCAACTGTTTGCCGGATCAGTTCAGGGTGCTGGTTCTAGCCTTTATAGCCCTAAACAGTTTGGGATCAAACTGCCCTCTTATCCTGCCTGAGCCTTACAGTCAGTGTTTGAGGCTCTCTAGTTCTTCAGCGAGAGTTATTTGGCTGGTGAGTATCAGGGACAGCCTCTTCTGTAGTGGCCCCATCACTCTGGAATCCTCTTTCCAGGGAGAGAGAGATGGTCTCCTCTCTGTTGGTTTTTAGAAGATGTTATTCCAACATCTTATGGATGATCTTAGGGTTTGTTTTTAATAATTTTTATTAGCTGTTGCATATTTGACAATGTGTGATAGTTGGCGTTTTAATCATTTGTAACTGGCATTACAAAGTAGATCCCATGCAGCACAAGGTAGCAAATCTATTAAATCAACAAGTAAATGTTTGGAATAACCTGCCTTTTTTGTTTGCTGAGCACCAGTGAAACAAAAATGTCTGCCTGAAAGGACAGGGAATGCTGCAAGTAAATTGAGGGGGCCGTCCTCTTTTTTCCATCCTTGTTTTCTTTTCCATTCCTGCCTTCCAAAATCCCTGTTTCTGGCAAGAAAGGCCGGTCTGTGTCACAGCTGGGGTATGCTGGGACTTGTATCTGGAAGGCAGTTGGCTGGGAAAGCGCTGCTTAACCTCCTGGTAACCACATCACAGTAGTAACCTAATTTTCCGTGGCTCAAAGTCTTTGTGAGCTAATCCCAGGTTTAGCACTACCTAGGGCAGGCTGGGATGGTGCCATTTCCATGGGTTTCATGCTTCCCCCTTTTATTCCTCATCAGGGAATTGCCACAGGGAAATACCACGCAGCGGTCCTCACCAACAGCGAAGAGTGGGAAAGCGCATGTGTGAAAGCAGGCAGGAACTGTGGCGACCTGGTTCATCCTCTCGTCTACTGCCCTGAGCTCCATTTTAGCGAATTTACCTCCGCTGTCGCTGACATGAAGAACTCTGTGGCGGTAGGTTAACCAGGGGAATTCCTTCTGCACTGACTGCAACAGACCCTTTGCATCACTCACCCCTGCCAGCCATTAATTTGTGGGGCTGCAATTCAGTCGTCCTGAAGAATATTCATTTGTGTATTTCCTTCTTTCCCGCAAGGAACCCAAGGTGGCTATCCTACTCTCCATTTAACCACAAGGTGGGTTAGGCTGAGTCAGCAGCTGGCCCAAAGTCACGCAGATGCTTCCTGGCTAAATGGGGACTAGAACCTGCCTCTCCCAGGGCCCAGTGCAACACTCCGCCACACTGGGTCATGTGTGGGTTTCTCATGTTTGTATATAGTACCAAAAATGTGGGACAGGATGGGTTAGTTCGTGTTTGGATCATGCCTGTTTTGGAGGCTGTGTTTCTGTGAGTTCCCAGGATGGAGTCTTTATATTACATCTCTGCATCTTAGGCTGCATCTTACTCAACAAAAGCTTTTTTTCATGTCATTGGACACCACAATATCTCAGTATTAAGGGGCAGTCTTAACTGCTAGCAGTAAAGCAGCTAATGCTTGCTTTGAAGGCATGTTACCGAAATGCCCAGTCATTGCTTCTTGTGCAGGGAAGGTGATTACGCAGATCAATTTTGTACTGGAACAGGACTAATATTTGCTGACATATACTCTCTTTTAAATCATTCACCTTAATGTATATGGAAGGGGGGGAGGGAGCGGGACGGGATGGACGGATGACAGAAGACAGACAGACAGACTCACTTTCACAAAGTTTTGTGGGTGTGAAAGGGTTCCACATTATGGGGCCCTTCACAGGCCCCAAAGGGGGTACAGATGGGGCCCCGGAGAGAACTCCACTGGGTCCCTGAGATAACAAAAGCTGCTGCATAGAGTGGAGTTCATTCTGCACACAGTCTCTAGGAATGCAGTTCAATGTGTATCTGCACAAGCCCTTTTAAAGCATGACCTTTAAAAAGCGCTCTCGCTCTGGCACCTTTTTCTCCGTTTTCGCCAGGACCGTGATAATTCCCCAAGCTCCTGTGCTGGACTTTTTATCGCTTCACACATCGGATTTGACTGGCCAGGCATCTGGGTGCACATAGATATCGCAGCGCCAGTCCATGCGGTGAGTGACTACGATCCCCTCTCTCTTCGCGTCTCGATTTTGTAAATTAAACTAACCACACACCCCACTCGTACACCCGTTTGTCAAATGTCCGAGGCAGTTGCCTCCATGTATCTCACGTATTTCATGCAAAATTTAACAGGGCACACCGTCTGAAGCCTTGCTGTGTTTGCTTCTAGGGTGAGCGAGCGACTGGCTACGGAGTAGCTCTCTTGCTGTCCCTCTTTGGCCGTGCCTCCGAAGACCCCCTGCTGAATATGGTGTCCCCACTGGGCTGCAACGGAGACTCTCCCGAGGATGACATGGGCAGAGATTCCAAGAGACGGCGCTTGGTTTAGTGGCCCCGTCCTTCAAAGATGGCACACCAGAATTACCTCACTTTGCACTGATGAGTTTCCAGAACCATAACATACCATTTGTCAGAAATGGCCGTTTTAGAAAACATACAGACATATGGATGGGTGAGGCTTAGATTTGATTCTGCATCTCATTCTAGCAAAAGGCCCCATTCTGTTATTTTTAAGAACAATTTGCTTGGAGGTTAGTACCAAACTTATAATGACTCTGCTGCTTCCAGTCTTTATTGAGAAGGGGCCAGGCAACTTTCTCATCTGTCTCCTGTCCAAAAAGTATCTGAATCTAGTAATGCAGCAGCTTAACCTCTTGCTGCCCATAGAGTCTTCTGAGAAGTTCTGCAGGTGTTCATACTCTGCAGGGGCTTTGCAGCCCCCCTGCCTTTCACAGTACAACAGCAGAGGGTGAAAATAGGGGGCACCACCTTGCAACCTACACAGGACGTGCCTCGTTTTTAAAAGGCCTGAAGCCAAGGCTCCTGGCTGAGCTTGCCCTCCGCTAAACTGCTGTCCCACCCGCTTGCGGTGTGGTGTACCTCTCACCCCAGAGCTGAAAGAAGAGATCAGCCTCTGCCAACCCGGCTTCCTCCAGATGGTTGGATTCTGGCATTGCCGTCCAGCACATCTGGAGGGCACCAGCTTGGGGAAGACTGAAATGGATGATGGCGTGCAGGCAGAATAGCCGAGAGGAACTGGGGACAAACAGCAGCTGAGCAGACCAGCAAGCGGATGGCCAGGAGGCACCATGGCAGTCCTGTCTCCGGTGGCACTGAGCGTTCAGAGTCAGCCCAAGTTGCAAGATGACCCCCCTGGACAAAACCACTGTGGGCTCTACTTTATTCTGTAGCGGTGTTTGGCGTCAGGGGAGCCCTGGTTTTATAAAGAGGCTTTAAACAAAAATTTCCTGAAGAACTCCTGTCTTGCATGTTCAATCTTTTGCCGATTGTTATGACCATGACCTGAAGAGTGAGCTGGTGCATTTCTCCATAACGTTCTTACACTCTTCTGCTAATAAACTGCATTAATGTTTAGAATGAAAGTGTTTATGGGAGGTAACCACACTAGAATAAAGCCCGTCATCTTTCATCTCACCATTTGTTAACTCAGATGTCTGATGCTTTTCTTTCTGCAAGTGCTTCCAAGTGATGTTAACAGATAATGTTGGACAAATTTATGACAGCTAAATGCAATGAAAGGTCAGTAGTCCCCTCCTTACTGGGGCCCGGAGGCGAATAATGTCCTGTTTGTGGGTCGCTTTGCCCTCTCTCCTGGTGGCAGATCTCACTGTCGAATCCAGCATAAGGCATCGCTTACATTCTTTGTGTTGAGAGTCTGGGCAGTGGACTGTTCTAGACAGCACTCACTAACCTCTGACCATTTCGCCAACCTAATGCCTTCCAGGTGCCAACATCCCACCTGACTGAAGAGCACCAGGTTAGGGAAGGCTGGTCACCATCCTTTCCACTTCTCTGCTCCTGGCAAAGCCAACAAGTCACACATGCAGCTATTCACCTGGTTTTATTAGGAGGCAAAGAGGAGGAACCCCTAGGACACTGCATTGCATCTTATATTTATGTATTCACCACACATCCATGCTTGTGTTACCGATTCGTCACAGGTCACCTGGTAGAGCTAGAAAAAACAATGTGAACTATTCACTGCCGCACCCTCCATATTGCTGTTCTTTTGAGATGGGAGTTTGTGTCAGATTGACTTTTTTTAGGGACACAGTCCCTGGTCATCTACCAAGTAAGGAGTTTGACCCATCAAGTCACTTCTTTTGGTTTTATCTCTGTGAGGTTCTCTTTCTCTCTCAGATGCCTTGCAACAGAAAATCCAGTGGCTTTAGAGTTCCAGGCAGTGTTCGACAGGAAGTTCGCAGTGCATGCACCCTCTTTATATTTAGGCTGGTAAATTGAATACGTGGCTTGTATTCCTGCCCCGAAACGGATTTGAATAGCTCATGAACCGAAGACATTTCCCAGCATGTCACGCTGAGTGAGGGTGTTGTGCATGCAAGTTCTGATTTGCAGTCTCTTTCCCATGTACCTCCACAGTCTCTCCCAACTTTTCCTTTCCTGAATGTTGCATTAGTGGCGGTCTCCTGCCCCCCTTTGGTTTAGGTACCCTGGTCCATTCAATCATTGTTTCAGGAGATCGGTAGAGGAAAATGAGTTTGGCAAAGAGCTGTTCTTCCAGCTCCAGCTCCCCTGCCTCCCTCGCCAGGAAGATGCTTAAGCAGAGTTTCAAGACTCGGTCCACGTTAGGCAGCTCTTCAAACATGATGGAACGTGAAATTCCATTGAAAAACTCTCGGATGAACTTTCCGATGACAAGAACAAAAGACATGTAGAGGCCCACAATGCTGCAGAGGAAGGAGAGGCAAAATGGTTTTCCGAGTGCTGTTTGAGTTGCTTATGCAAAATTGAGAACACATTCAGGTTATTCGTACAAGGGGCCTTCAAAAAGTTTCCGCATTTTTAAAAACTATTAAGAATTTCAAAAACAAATGGCATCAGTTTTCTACATAGTCACCTTCCTCTGCATCATACTAACTTTAATGCCGTCAGCAAAAAATATATAAAATACATTTATAAGATAAAAGTGTGGAAATTTTTTGAGGACTCCTCATAATAAGCACCTGTCCTGTGTTTTTCCAGGCAGGCCACCACCATTAAATGGTTTTTCTCATGTCTCTCAACATCTCTATGCTGTCTCCCACAGCATTAATTTATTATTTTGTTTATTTATTGGATTGTTCCACAATCCAAGCAGGTTCCAGAGTGGTGAACTATACAAGATTAAAAGAATAACAGCAGGACCACAATAAAACCATGGCTGGTCCAGAAGAAAGCTTTTTGGAATAAGGCTCTCTTCAACAGGCACCAAAACCAGCACAGAATTGATGCTTGCCTGACCTCCCAAGGCAGGAAATCCAATAGAAATGGGGCCACCACACTGAAGACCCTTCTGGTAGTGTCCATCTGTGCCATGATTCTGTCTGGAACCACCCAGAGAAAGTTCTGTCATGACCTCAGTGAAAGAGGCAGCACTCCTGGAGCTATTGCAGCCCCAAGTCCTTCAGGGCTCTGTAGACTAGAACTACAGTCTTAAATCTGGCTCCATAGCAAATAGGCAACCCATGTTCTTCCTTCAGCAAGGGAGCTGCATGCAGAAGAGAAACATTCCCCAGGAACAGCTGGGCTGCTGCACTCAGCACAAGCCGCAGTTGTGGCGTGGCCTTAAGGCAGCCCTCCGTAGGACAGAGCAGTACCCTAGTCTTGAGGTGGCAAGAACCTGAATCACTGGGGCCAGCCAGCCCTCTGCAGGAGAGGCTATGGCTGCAAGGCACGCCAAACTTCTCCATCGACTGGGACGCCAGTGACAGCAGGACATCTCGGAGTACCCCCAGAACAGGGACCTGGAGGAGTGGAGCCCCATTTCCTGGACTGCCATGCAATCCCCCTCCTCGCTTGAGCTTCTTACTGGATTTGAGGCCTTTTTAAGGGCCTTTATCCCTGTTAGGATTGTTGTTTATTATATTTACATCCCACCCATTTTCTTTTGCAGAAAAACCCAAGGCAGATACACGTTCATGCTCCTCTCCATTTTATCATCTCAAGAACTCTGTGAGGTGGGTGACTGGCCCAAGGTCTCCTGGTGAGCTTCATAGCTGACTGGAATCCAGATCTTCCAAGTCCCAATCCAATACGCTAACCATTGCACCACACTAGTATGCAGTCCTATGACCCATGGGGCCTTTAGGGTGGAGAGAAGCCAGCCTCAGGCGAGAGCAGTCACCCTTGCTCCCAGCCAGCACAGGACCCAGGGCCTCCCCACCCCTCTGCTTCTTCCTGCAATGAGGGACAGCACACCTCAGCCCCGGAGCTGCATGTCACTCCTACTGCGATCAGCAGGAAGAAATCGCAAAAGGCTGGGGTCAGAGCAAGGAGAGAGAACGGTGGCTTCTTCCTTTTGCAAGGGCTTGGAATAAGGAGGATTTGGATTGCAGCCCACACACTTGCAGGATTGCTCTGCCAGGGTGGCACTAATGCACCATATGAAGGTTTTGCCCATAAAAATTAGCCAAGTAGATAGATGTCCCAACCCAGATGTGGTAAAGAGGCCAGCTCTTGATACAGAGAAACTCCAAGCTTTCTACAAATGAGGGATCCTTGGAAGAAAACAAATTAAATGGATGGGTGGTGTTCTTAGCTAGGTTTGGAGACATGGCTTATCAAGCGAGTAAAATAGGCTCCCAGGAAGGGCAACTTCAGTGAAGGGGGAGAGACGTGCCACGTGATCCTACCCAGCCAGGGAGCCCCATTTGGAGCCAAAGGCCCTCCCAGGACTTTCTTGCTCCATCAACATCTTAAAAGGTGTCCCAGTTTCAGAGTAGCATCCTTACCCTTGTGATGCAATGAATCCCAGGGTGGAAGGGCTGACCTTATCATTAAAGATGAAGATCTCCATGTTCTTGCTGCATCTTTTACCCAAACAGCCCGGCTTGTGCTCTTTAACAATCCACCACTCAGGAACGTGTCTTACAGATCCCTCAGTAGGCAGCTGCTGCAATTCTATGGTTATATTCCTGAAGAAGGCCATCTTGTCTATGTCCTTCAGCTTCCTGGAATGAGCTGTACATCAGAAGAATATGGGGTGATGAGGGAACAGTGCACCTCATGCCTTCCCTCCGCACAGAAGCATCTCCACAGCATGAGAAGGGTTGCAAGCAGGGGTCAGTGGGCTGGTGTTTTAACCCCAGCCTTGGTCTAAACTTGAAAGGAACGCTCCATGATGCCAACCTCTAGCCCTGAAATAGGTTCAGCACCGCGGATAGCTCCTTAAACGTCCAGACTGCAATCCGGAGAAGATACGCTGCTCTACTGACATTACAGTATCCAACCTCCACTGGAGGATTGAGTGGCTGGCACTTTCACATCTTCCACATTCTGATAGTATCTATACCCAAAATCACTTTAGAGTTTTGGCATCCCCACATTAGCTATGTGTTGATCAGAAGCAAAATGGAAGAAGAGCAGCCCATCATGAGCTTGACTGTAGCATGACCAGGTGGCAAAAGGGGACTAATGGGCACTAGCAGAGTGCTGGCAGAATCTTCAGCAAGACCCAGGGCTGAATCCGCTGTGACCCAGACCTGCCCGGCCATACAGAATGGCAGTGCGTGTCCAACGCAAGGGGTAGTCGGGTCCTGAAGACATTTTTTCCCAGCCAAGCCATGATGTTGGAAATATGCTTCAGCTGGATAGTAAATAATTGGGAAGGTAAATGGCAGGTGAGGGGGGAATTCAGGTGCCTCACCTACATGCCCATTTTGCTAGCTTGTTCCATCGACAAAAGGTTTTCAGACTTTTCATAGACATGATGGAGAAAGGATACTTGCTTTTGTAATAAAGAAAGCTGAAATGTTTAGAATGAAACATTGTGTGCCAAATACCAGCTTTCTTCCCATGCATTATGATACAGAAAATCTTCCTCTACAATGCTTGTAGTATCAGAATTTGCAAGACAGTGCAGTTTTACCTCAAAGGGGATGCACATTTCTGACGGACATCACAACAGTTACTTACCAACTTGCAGTCTGTGCGCCATTTTAGCTTCTGCTCCTCTTGTAGCTCTCAGATATCGTGGTAGGACACCTGGAAGTAGGCTGGGGGAGGGGGGACATGATGTATATTAAAGTTCTTACTACTACAAACTTCCAAAGCAACACTAAGATATTATTAGTTTCACATTCTTATCTTCCCCAACTTCTAGGAGCTCTGGATGGGATATGCAGGGTTGTTCCATTTTATCTTTGCAATGCTCTTATGATCCTAAAATAAGGGTATTGTACTACAGGCCCATGGACTAAAACTGACCAATCCAGGTTTCCAAAATTTCTTCCCTGACTATCGTTCTCCCCTCAGTCATGGAGCTCACTGGGTGTCTCTGGGCCAGTCAGACTCTCAGCCCAACCTACTTCTCAGGGGTTGTGAAGATAAGATCGAGAGCAGGAGAAGAATGATGTAAGTTGCCTTGATTTCCTTGAAAGGGAAAAAGGCAGGATATAAATATAAATGTACCCCTGGGGATGGGTTCTCATTATTGTCTGAACTTGTCAGAGTTTTCCCCTAATATGATGGCCTGCTTGGATAGAGGATGCTTAAAATTACAGCCTTGGAGGCCCCGGTTAGGGAAATCTGGATTAGAGAACTCTGTGGAAAAGGATACATCTAATTAACAGCTGTTAGCCATGATTGCCTAATGGTGAATTCATATAGGCCTTGTTAGTGTATGCTGGGGACACACAGCAGGGGGAGGCCACTCTGTTATGGACCGTTGGCAGACCCATAAATGGCACTGAAAGAAGCAGAAAAATAAGATACTGACACTGGTTCAGTCCTGGTTCCACACAACATTTGCACAATTTGCTCCCGTATTTCCTTCTCTTCATACCGCACCGTGTGTATGCCAGACGCTTCGATATTTTTCACAAGAGAGGCATTCCTAGCAGAAGAAGGAAATTAAGGAAACATGAAAAGAACACAGGTGCCATCTGAGACAGATGTCCCTCCATCCTTTTATCTATTGTTCATATTCTTTATGCCTTGATGAAAGGGACAACCTACTGGGAATGTCCAGAGGTGGCTTGTGCTGGAAAGGAATGTGGAAACTGTACAAGGAAGGATGCTTTTTGGGGGCAGAAATGGAGCGGGAGAATGTGAACCGTGCTAGCGCCTGGGTTGGAAGATCCCCTCGGGCAAGACACCCTCAATGGGCAGGTCTGTGAGTCTCCACTCTCCCTGCCACTCTCACCAGTGGCTGTTGCCCCTCCTACTCTCCTCGTTGCTGCTGGCAGCTGCTTGCTTGCTCAGCATTTAGTGCTCCTCTTTCTGATCAACACCATTCCTTGGGCCACGTAGCAAGAGTCAGGACAACCAGCAGGCTGCACTGGTGGAGAAGAGGTGCTCCATGGGGCACCTGCTGGTGCCTGAATCTCCCACAAGCACCTGACCAAACCGATCCTTGATGCCAGTTATGACAATAACAGGGCAGTGAAGCTGAGGTTCCATTCCCTATGCTGTCTTGAACATGTCTATGCTGGGTACAGCATCTTCTTTCACCTCAGAAGAGTCCAGTAGAAGTTGATGTAGATCGCAGAGGAGTTGGAAAGTTCAGCAATCATCGATTTCCGACTTGCGGGACTGATGGTCCACAGCAGACTGGCATTCCCTTTTATTTTAGCAACCACAATGTCCTCGGGGATATAGTTGACAATAAATTGCATGGCAGACTAGAAGAAAAACGAATGGGGTTATTGATCTTAAAAAATCAAGGCAGATGAATCTCCCTTTTTCCAGCTCAGCCTTCTTCAGCCTGTTCTCTTCCAGCTAAGGACTGCAATGGCTGGACATCATACAAGCCACCATCCAACAGATCTGGAAGGATCCAGGTTGGGAATGACTACCCTGGCAAGAAGTTTGACTTACCCTGCTTTTGCAATCCAGTTAAAGATGCTGTTGGCATTAATTGCAGCCAAATTTCATTTCGTCATCTGTTATAGCTAAATCTAATTGAGATCTTCCAAGGAAGTTCGAAAACTGAGGAACGGAGCCTATTCCACTAAGTTTCATGCTTCAAAGTGAAAAAGAAGCAGATAGCTGGAGACAGCAGGGGAGGAGACCCTTTCTAGCAAACCAGCAGCAAATTGTATAGGATTCAGGATTCTTTCAAGAACAAATTGTCCTGTCCTCCCATTGATCAGGTAGCCAGTGACCATCTAATAGGGAGGCAGAGGGAACAGCCTCTGGCCCCTAGACATTGTCTGAGTGACCATAGGCTTGTCTAGATTCCCAGCTCCAAAGCTGGAGATAGCAGTCCAACCTCGGACCTGAGAATCGAGGCTCTGATCCACTCAGTGGAAAGAACTGTGCCAGCTGCTCTCCGTGGTCAGGAAAAAAACTTTGGAGAAGGTAAAGGGGGACATTTCAGGGGCAGGAAGTGACTGAAATGGCCAGGACATGAGGTACTCTGAAGCTTCCCTCTCCTTCTAAAGCTGCCCAGCTAGATCAGTGAGGAAGCATGTCTAGCAAAATGTAGAGAGGAAGGTAGAGGTCACCTCTGCTGTTTCTTCTAACCTGTCCTGGATGCCTGCAAGCCTTCAAGTTCATAATTAGACATCAAATTTGCAGGTGGGAATTGTATGCCTAGGGTCCTGATGGGGTTGGAGGTAGCATGTGAACTTGCTCTACGGCAGAAAAGGTAATGCGGCACAGGTCGCCCGGGGGCACGCGTGTTCATCCTCAGGTCTGGAAAGCACATCCGGTGCCCCTGGGATTCCACACCTGGCCCAACTGGGGCTCCCAACATGGCGGTGCCCATTTCCGGACCCCTTTCCCCAGCCACTAATCATTTAGTGGTATCTCAAACGTGGTCCTTTATTCATTCAGAAAGGGTGAAATGCCATTCCTAAGATTTACAGGCACTGTATACTGTAAGCTAAAATACGGTATTTTTAAATTTTATTTTGGCTCCACCCATTTGGGAATGTAACTCTGAAGAGCTTCTCTGAAGCCGACATCAGCCCTAAGCCAGAACAGTTTACTGTTCCCGCCTGACAGTGAGAAATGGAGGTCAGTTTTTGGTGGATTAGTTCAGTTCTACCCCTTTTCTTCATTATGAGAGCCTATTGTCTAAAGGGTTTGGCTTAATTTGGACCAGCTCATCAAGCTCATCATCTCAGGAGCCCCCTTTAGAGCCCCAGGATTCCGCCTGGGAATGCTGTGAAGGCTGGCGAAGAACAGTGCTCAGAGAGCCTAGTGAGGAAATCCGCATTAAAACAAAATCTTATTCCATACATATACATTAAAGACACAAATATAACAAAATAAGCAGAACCACTCAAAAAACAAAGAACCAAAAAAACCCCTTCAGCGCATGCCAAGGGCCTGCCTGAAAATCATATTTACTGCCAGCAGAAAGACAACAGAAAAAGATCCAGTCCAGGCTCACATGCCAGGGCACTCCAGAACCTGGGAGCAGTCACTGAGAAGGCCCTGTCTCTCACACCCACCACATGTGCCTCTGATCATGACAGCACTGGGACAAGACTGTTCATTTCCTAGGATTCTGGTGCCAAATAGCTGAGAAACAGCAAATAACCTGGGCAGAACCAGCAACAACAGAAGAACTTGCTTGCAATTTGTGCATTACTTGAGCTTAACACACACACACACACACACACATACTTACAGGCTGAAGGGCATATTGAATGGTGAGGTCGTTATACGCTGCTTGAGTGAAAGGCACCAGGTTTTGCTGCTGGGCACTCATGGTAAATAAGGACTAGGAGAAAGCAAAGGGGGGAAGTCCTGTCATTACAGGCTTGGTCTCCAACGCATCTCACTTTAGAGCCAAGTTCAAGCCACAGCTCAGTGTTTTGTGACTGTCCGTCCCTTTATGGGGGGTCAAACCACTCCTGCAGCAGCCTTTGTGTGCGTGTGCCCACGACACTCTCCCAGAAAGCCCTCAGTGGCCACCAACTTAAGGAAGTTGGGGTTGTTTGAGCTGTTCTGACTGGGAGAAATTTCTAGGATCTTAGCCAGTGGTCCTCCAAACCATCACCATCATCCATGTCAGTCTCCAGAGTTGTCCAGGACTGATCCTGGGGACGCCTGCATGCAAAGCTGATGCCCCGCCCTTGAGCCCCACGGTTCGTCCTATTAAAACCGTGACAGCCCATGACGCCTCCTGCACAGCCATACCTCGTAACCACTGATGGTAATTTTGACAGACACATCCAGAGGCTGGTTGGTTACTCCTGCCACCGACGTTGCTAGCGACATAACCAGCAGTGGGAACCACACGATGCAGACGAGCACAAAGACGATGGCACCCCCCATCCCATACTTCACAATCATTTTCTTCTTCTGCCCAGGAGGCTGGGGGTATTTCTGAAACACAGAGAAAGGACACGACAGAATGGGGTGAATACATGGCTGAAAAGAAATAGGAAAGGCGCTTCCTGATTCTGTATCAAGGTCCTTTGAACTTAGCACCAGGAAAAAGCAAACTTTATACATTTGGACAGCTTTTGTTAAACCCATTCCCTTTGAGTTTTGCTGATTATCCGGTGTCTTGCCATTGCCTGCTTGTTGACAGAAGGGAGTTGCTGGCTTCTTTATTTGTGTGTGTGTGTTGCCATCATTTCATTCTATCCCTGCTAATTCTCAAAGGCACATTAATTCTAAGGCAAATCAATGGAAATTCTCCTCCAAATGTGGAAATCCAGTCTGGTCTGCAGAGTCCCTGTGGCTTAGAAGTAGCTATTCCACTGTGGAATCTGTAAGTTGGATTCACAGAAGCCCTAATTCACTGGAACCCACTGAGGATTTCTCCTCAGTGACCTTCCTCATAGGTGAAAGGTTTCTTTCCCAGCACCTGCAAACTAAAAATATCAGAGATTAAACCTGGGACCTTCTGCAGGGAAAGCACATTCTCTGCCACCAAGATATGGCTCTTCCTTACCAGAAACAGACAAAGCAGTTTCATTGGTTGCCTACAGAACAGAGAGTGAACAATGCTTCAGACATTCACATATATGGGATAAATGGCCTAGATGTCTTCAGAGTCATTTTAAAAACCTGTATGCAAACATGCTGAGAAAAGCAATGTATCCCTTCTTTGTAAGAAACATGTTCTATTCAAAATGAATTGCCAGGTTTCACAGCATAAAAGTTATTATTACTATATTGCACAAATATTCTGCCTTTTTGCCTCTTTGTGGGGAACTCAAGGCATCTTACACAGTCATTGTCCACTCCTTACAACAACAACAACAACAACAACAACAACAACAACAACAGCAACCCTGTGTGACAGGTTAAGCTGAGAGCAAGCGACTGGCCCAAAGTCACGCAGTGAGCTTCATGGCCAAGTGAGGACTAGAATCTGGGTCCCCAGTCCAACACTTTAGCCACCGCACCACCCGTGCTACCAAGTTATCTCAGATTCCTGTCATGCCCCATCCCATAAGCTCAAGTATATATTTTTTTACAACTCATGCATCTCATAACACAGAGCCCCAGCATTAGAAAACTACACCATTATGCACACCATCAAGGCCTGAGTGGACACATGTAGCCCACCAACCACCTAACCCATAGCTAGGCATACAGTGGGACTTAACTCTGTGTAGACTCGTACTTGACTGCACTATTAATCCCATTGATTTCTGCAGCAGGATAAAGGAGGCAAGAAGAGCCCCGCTGGGTCAGAGCAAGGGCCCGTCTAGTCCAGCCTTCTGTTCACAAGGTGCCCACCCCAAGCCGGACATGAGTGTGACAGGCCCTTCCCACCACTGTTCCTCAGCAACTGCTGATATTGGAGATGGCACAGAGACATCAGGACTAGTCGCCATTGATAGCGTTATCCTTCCTGAAGCCATCAAACCCTTCTTGAAGCCATCAAAGTGACGGTCATCACCACATCTTATGGCAAGGAATGCTATCACTCAACTATGCACTGTGTGAAGAAGTGCTTTGATCTGTCCTGAATCTCCTACAAATCAGCTTCATGGGATCATCTGAGGTCTAGTATGACAAGATAGGAAGGGAAATCATTTCTCTGTCCACTTTCTCCACACCAGGCATTCTTCTTCTTCCACGTCTCCCTCTACTCAGCTGTTCTAACATTTCCTCACAGGTGAATTGCTCCACATTTTGGTCATTTTAGTGGCCCTCTTCTGTACCTTTTGCACTCTGGGGTACCCTTTTTAGGAACTATGACCAGAACTGTATAGCATATTCTCAGTTCATTTGCATTCAGACCCTCTGCTCCTCAGGATATCACCCTCTGTACCTGTATCATCTGAATTATGGTGCTGTCAATAGCTCATGAAAAACAGGACTCACTTTCTCAGATTCTCTCCAGCATTTCAGGATGAAAACATTAGCATAAATGTCCTCCACGCAGATCCAGTTGGACAGGCTTAGGGTAGTGTCAGTCCAAACCCAATCCATGACAGCTCTCAGCTCCATCAGGAAAGGTACCATGCGAAATCTGCCCAGATTCGGAGAAGGAAGCAGGTTAGTATTGCCAGCATTGTGTAGCAAGCACCCAAAATGGGAATCTGGCAACAGGAGTCCAGGAATTAACAAAAATGCTGCCTACATTATTGTTCCAAGCCCACCTAGGCTCCAAAGGTAGATTTGCTTTGCCCTAGCACACCCACAGTCTTCCTCACAAAAATATTTATTTTTTTGCAACATGCAAATATAGCTCCATGGCTGCACAGATTCTGGAATGCTGCACAATAGAAGACAAAGTATGTAAAAGAATCAAACATAATATTATAAACATACTGTCACTAAAAACCACAATTGCCTTTATGATTCCTGTACTTCTCAAGCATCTAAGATGGGGGCTCATTACATGACTTTGGTCCAGAAGTTGCCTTCGGTGAGAGCCATGTAAAAAGACTTTTCCTTTCTCTCAGACATTAATTATATGGGATCTTTATACCACCCCAAAGCTCGTTCAGCTCTTTCACCTTTTCTTTTCTTTTATAACTTTTCTTTTATAACTTCTTTTATATCGTTTATATTTTTTATTTATTTTATATTATTAATTTTAATTTTATATTGTTATTTTTATATTGTATTGTATTTTATTGTGTTGTAAGCCGCCCCGAGGCTTCGGCAAGGGGCGGCATAGAAATGTTCTAATAATAATAATAAAAAATAATAATTATATTGTAGTCTTTCCAGGGGCCTGGAAGGCCTGACTTGGAAAAGCAAGGAAGTTCACTTCCACCAACACAGTTGTTCCAGTGTAAATCCTGATGTAAACTAATAATTTTGGTCCAGTCTCTGCAAATCAGAATTGATCCTCAAAAGTGATCTTACACAGCCCATAAATTGAGGCCAGATTGAGCAAACACTGTTCACAGCTTCACCCAATAGGAAATTCCTGTGTTCTCAACTGTGAAGAAACAGGAATGTTCCATTCTGGAGGAAACTATTCTTCCAGCAGAAATTTGCAGGTGCAAAATTTTCAAAGTTTTAAAAACATCTTTAGTTACCTACACAGTTTTCTTTGTATAACAGTGCTCTGCTAACCACTCTATGACATCTGAAGACCTGCAGACATGAACATAATGGCTGATAGTTTGTGAGGATAATTAGTTTTATTAGAGAATTGCAACTTACCCTTCGAATAAGAAGAGATTTATGCAGTTGTAACTCTTGGTCAGAAAATTGCCCAACACCTGTTTGGGGTAACCGCATTTGATCTGATACGCCGACAAGCCAAAATAAACACACTTGACCAGGTACCAGAGCCGAGCCACCGCATTCCTGTTAAATCTCCTGCAAGTGAACAGAACAGATGTTGCATCCTCCCTCTTTCAGGGCAATGACAAGCCATATGAAAGCTTTCTTAGACTTCTGCCAGTTCACGTTCCTCCACAGCAACCTACTGTACCTGCAGCACACAGAGCTGCCTTCAGAAAGCAGGACCGTTACTTGTTGGCCATGTGCATGTAGGAGGAAGGCTGAATCTCAGCCCTTACTCCCTTCAAGGAACAGCTGAAAGATGCCATTGTGACTTTTGGAAGAAGACTCTCTATGCAAGTAACCTCTGCAGATTTACTGCCTCCTATGACTGGTCCATAATCAAAGACTTCCCACCAACACTACCATTCTACACCAGTCAGGGCCGTCTTAACGCATGGGCCTGATGGGCCCTTGCCCATGGGCCCCATACTAATCTGTGTATGTTAACCCTTGGAAAATAGGAAAACTTCCAAAATTAACAGTAGTTGCAGTTGTCGTAGGGGCCCCAGTACACTGCTTTGCCCGGGGCCCATAATGCTGTCAAGACGGCCCTGACACCAGTGGCTGTTATACCTTTCTGTTACTCGAGGCAAGATGAAGAACATCCAGAAGTGGATGCTGAAGACAAGCACCACCTGAAAAACACACTTCCCAAACATGTTTTTTCTCAGGTAGATTGCCCGGTCCACTATCATTGTCCCAAACTGCACCAGGAGCATCACGAGGAAGGCATCAGGCACTTGGTCTTCTGAGAGGATTTCTGTGATGTCCTCAGCAGCAGAGGAGTATTTCTGTAATAAGTCAGAGGCATGCACTGGTCACAACTAGGCGGAAGGGAAGGGGCGGGAAGGGAAGGGAAGGGGCGGGAAGGGAAGGGAAGGGAAGGGAAGGGAAGGGAAGGGAAGGGAAGGGAAGGGAAGGGAAGGGACAGGGCTACCCTAATCTTTGGTTTGGAGTCTCAGAGCATATTGATACTGCAAAGCTACGGTAGGATTCACTCTCCAGTAGTTCTGTGGAGAGTTCCAGCTACAAGTTCCATATACAATTTCCCGTGGATAAACCTAATTGAACTCAGTCGAGGTTACTTCTTCATAGACCTTACAATCAGCAAAAAGTCCTGGCACTGAATACAATTTCAAAAGGAGTTGATGTGTGGCATGATTTGGGGAAGGGTGTTTAAAGAGAGATAAGAGTCAGATTCTGCTGGGCTAGAGCAGGATTGACTGATTCAAGGTAAATAGTTTCTTGTACAGTGGCCAATCTTTTCATTCACTTGTGATATCCCATATGAAGGAGTCCACAGGATTTCTGCTCTGTGACTAACACAGGATACATCCGTCTGCTGCGTTCTATGACAAAAAGAGCCCTGGAGTTGGGTCTCTGACTTTTCCTATGACCAACTAGGCAGCATCTAGCAGTCTTTAGAACTGTATCCTAAAATTGTATGATTCTATTATCGTTCATCATAGAAGATGTGTAGTAAAAGCAGTGTGTTTGACCAGGTGCAGGGTATATGTCCTTCATCAATGAGAGAATCAGTGCCAATTCCATCACATCAACAATTATGGGGCAAAAGGTTCCAGGCCAAGCAAATGTTGGCCTGGAACCATTGATCTCTAGACCCAGCATTCAACCAATGTTGAATGTTCCAAGCACCTTTCCTTTTAGATATGAAGTAACTTGTGCCAATACTTACGCCAAAAGCCCAGTAGCCAAAGATGATAATAATAAAGTTAATCACATCAGCTAGGAACATGAGAGCATAAACATCACAGACTGGGCTGCATTCTGGATGAATAATGTCGTAGAAGAATTGCTTGATGGGCCGGTAAATCAGAAGAGTGCTATGGATAAAAACTGATTTTGATCAGCCAAATTGCAAAGCAGGAATCACATTTGTCAGAAAGGTAATTTGCTTGCATAAAGCTTAGGAAAATGTTTGGTAGCTAATGTATCATGCAAACATCCATCCTAGCTAGTAGAGAGAATGACATATACCCCAAGAAAAATCTAACACTGGAATGCTTGAATGTTCCTCTCTTTATCTCACTCTGTGTACAGAATCACAACACTCTGGACTCAAATATTTCTCAGTCAACTACTTGCAAACTCACTATACCTGCTTCTTCATAAAATGCCACTAATTTTAGGGAAGTTGAAATTTGGCGTTTGTTAAATAAACAATTCATTGTCACTTGAAGGCTGAACTTGATGGGGCATAAAATGAATGAATACATTCAACATCTTGGTATTCGCTCTGTAAATAGCAGCCAGTAAGTCTTGCCTAGAATAAGTACTGGGACGAAAGTGCACCCACCCAAAGCACTGTTCCACCCTGTCACCCAAAGAATGCCCAAGCTACTATTAGCAGATTTAACCATTCTGGTTTTGGGCTTTTAGTTCTCCTGATGGCACTATGAACAAGCCCACTGAACTAAAAGTTACAGCATCACAGCAAAAGCAGAAGCTGGGGACCTTTTAAATGGGTATGATGTCCAAAACACCAGTTTGGTATGATAGCTCCTTGCTATCATATGACTCAGTAGAGTCTTGATTTTCCCCCTCCCCTCCCCTCCCCATGTACTGGGGATGTGTACACAGACAGTCCTTCAGTCTATTAATGAGAGTAGAAGGTCTGTAACCCCTATTTCCAAATTGTCTTTCCCCACACCCATTGCTCAGCTCTCATTCAAGCTGCAAAATCTCCCTTTTTACTGACATTTTACAAAATATATCTGCATTTACATTTTAATTGGGAGTTCCTTTGCCTTTTGGATCTGCTGGTTTATTGTTTCTTTGGTAATTCTCTTCCTAACAGCAGGGAGTTTTCTGAAAAGGTTCCATTTCTTCTTGGCTTCTTTCAGAGGCTTGTCTGCCAAACAGAAAGAAATCACAGCTCTGTCTGGGAAGTATTCATTTCACAAGTGCCATGCCTCATTTTAAGCTCTCACCGACTCAGGTGGGATCCCACTTGCTAACCATGACACTCAATCTGCCACCCACTCAGACACACAATCCACAGCCAGTCCTTCAGGCACTGTTCCCACTGACCTCTATATAATATTAAAATGCATGCTCTTGTGCCAATTTCTGTCCCAGAGGCTCCTCCCAAAATGCTGGCTCCATGACCATGTAATGAACATAGCAAGATCAGGTTTTGCATTTTTATCACAAACGGCTTTTTAAGAGGCAGCAAGGGAGCTAGTCACGACACCACACACCCACCAGCCACCACAGAAGAATGGGCAAACAGATAGGATAACAATAATATTTACCAGGGTCACTCCTGGTCTTTTTCTTCTTCCCACTATCCCAAGAACCGAGAGAAGCCTGATTTCCCACTTCTGTGAGTGTTTTCAGCAGTAGCTTTTCCTAACCAGGCCCAGTGATCTCCTCAACGCTTTTGCATTCCACTCAGAATGATGGACTTCCAGGTGTGGAACTTCACTCTAAGACCAGGTAGGATGGAGCCCTCAGTGTGCTGCCATCTGGTGGACCGTCTCCCAAATCATCAGCCCCTTCCAGCAGGCTCATTGGGTAGAAGGAGCAACAGTTGTGCCCCAAGCATCAGCAGATGATTTTGCAGAACTGGGGTATCATATGAAACTCCCGTAATGTCTCAGAATAAGAGCATCTTATATTTATGGAACATTCAAATGGTGGCTCACAGACCTCCATTTTTATCTTCCATAGTTCCCTCGAGCAAGTCTATGAATTGTGGGAAATTTAAAGGGCAACAGCCCAGCAGCATAACAAAGACTTAAGGATGAGACAAGGCAGATGTTGGTAGTGGGCCCTGTTGGCAGGCTGGGACCCCAACAGCTGCCCAAGGAAGCTGGGTCATGATGCTGGGCCTGCCTCACAGCCTGCACTTCCAGAAGGATTCCTGTGCAGCTCCCCTTGCCTTCTGCTAGAGCCACAAACAGAAATCCTCGTCTCATCGATGGCAGCCTCCCCAGTAAGACTTCAGTTCTCTAGTCATTATTGTCTTCAGCACACTCCTCAAACTGTGCCTTTTCCCTGGTGATCAGAGCAGATTTCACGGCTGGCTCCCAATTCCATTCCCCTTTGGTACACAGAAGCATTACACACCATTTCTTCCCCTCACAGAAAGAGGGCTACAATCACATACATGCACCAAGCTACCTTCATTAGTGCTCTTGGCAATGTTCCTTGAGAGATTTTGTGATCTATAAGGTTGCTGTGCTCTTGATCTAGGTTGACTTTCCTTCAGCTGGCCTCTGTGTGCTTTCTTCTTCTTTGGTCTCCCTGTCCTCCTCTTTTCTTCAGAGTCTGGTACATCGATCTTCTTGGAATCCCAAAGCCCATAGCACTGTAAAATGTAGTACAGTGACTTTCATTATCAGTAAAACAATTTTAATCCTTCTCAAGTGAAAGCCACACAGGCTTACATGACAGCAAAGTTTGACACAAACCTCAGCTACATGATTAGTGTAATGTGTAGCTTGGCCCTTCTCGGCAGCACTGGAACGCAGCAATCTTGGAAAGTTTGAACATTCTAGGCTCCAGGCCTATGCCAGCTTACCTGGTAGTGAGCCCCACTGAACCCTGTGTCTAAGCTGTCAGAAGGAGTTCAAAAGAGATGAGGATAATTAGGTTGTCCTGTTTTCCTTTTACCTTTCCTCAAGGAAGGTGAGGAAAAATGATAAGAAGTGATACCCTTCCCTTCCTGCATGGATTCTGAAACAAAATAGTTGTCAAGGAGCTACTATAAGACATTTTTGAAGCTCTGAGGAAAAATGACAGACTCTGGGCTTCGATTATAAGAGAAGAGGTGATTCTTTCAGTGTTCATAGAATCATAGAACAGTAAAGTTGGAAGGGGCCATGAAGGCCATTGGGTCCAAGCCCCCTGCTGTTGCAGGGCACCATGTTACACCATCCCACTCAGAAGGCTGCCCAGTTTCCTTTTGAATGTCTCCAGTGTGGGAGAGCCCACCACCTCTCCAGGCAGCTGGTTCCACTGTTGTATTGCTCTGACTGTGAGGAAGCTTTTCCTGATGCCCAGCCTAAGTCTGGGTTGCTGCAACTTGAATTGACTGTTCAGTGTCCTACACTCTGGTATCAGTAAGAAGAGATCTTAGCCTTTCTCTCTGGGACAGCCTTGTGTTGAACCTCTTCCATTCCAGAGACAAAAGGCATGGTGCCAAAATGATACACACACCACCAGCACGTGGCATGGTAAAGCTCCTACCGCCAGTAACTAAGATTTTAGAACAGGAAAAAAACTCTACAGAACTGACTGTTCAGTGGTGAGGGAAAAGGGAGTAAGGCCAGGGAAGGGGACATACCAAACTGGAGAACACTGGAGGGCCAGGATTGGACTGCAGGCCCCTGGGCCTGAAAGTCTGTACCTCTACAATAAAGTGTACCTGAGCTTTACCATTCTGCTTATAGCATGGGCAGTATAAAATAATAATAATAACAACAACAACATCAACCACAATAGATGTGTGCCCTTAAATAGCTCTTCAGAACAACAACAACAACAGATTTGTGCCCTTAAATAGCTCTTCACAACAACAACAACAACAACAACAACAACAACAGATTTGTGCCCTTTAATAGCTCTTCAGCATTCTCTCAACAGATTTGTGCCCTTAAATAGCTCTTCAGCATTCTCTTTCTTGAGAAGAATGGGTTACATTACCTTCAAGATATACCGATGGAAGAATAAAGCCAACAGCTGCACTAGATCATAATGCATGTAGACATCCTGCTTCTCAATCCCAGCCATATTTGGCAAAGCAAATGGCTTTTCTGCATTGAGAGCACAATATAACTTTGTGGTCCAAGGAAAGAATCCAAACTGAGAAAAGTATTTGATCACAAATGTTACCTGCAGGGGAAGGAAGCACATACACACACACACAGATGCTAGATTTCAAATCTGTAGTTCTTACATGAAACAGTTCTCTAACTTTTATCCTATTATGCTTTATTAGGAACAAAAAAAATGGAACTGCCAAGATCGTACCCCTGTTATACAAATGCTAGGTACAACTGTGCTTAGAATACAGTTGCACGCAGTTCTGGTCACCTCACTTGAAAAAGGACATTATTGAGTCGGAAAAAGTTCAGAGAAAGGCAACAAAAATGAGGAGCAGCTACTACAACTGGGACTGTTCAGCTTAGAAAAAAGGTGAGTAAGGAGAGACATGGCAGTGGTGCTTAAACTAATGCATGGTGTAGAGGAAGTAGAGGGTGGCATTTTGCGGGTTTGCCACCACATGAAGAGTGCTGGACCAGATTGTCCTTGGGTCTGATCCCACATGGCTTTTCTTATGTAGGAATAGTCAAGCGAGTATTTTCTTCGTAAAAGAGAAACGTCTACAGAAATTATATGAGTCTTAGGGATTAAGCCTAGCAGGATTGCCTCTTCACACATTTTCTGTTCCATCTATTTTACATAAGGCATGTAAGATGACCACGTTAACATTTCCATTCCCTTGTGTTATGAGCAGGGGAGCAAAATTGCAGACACCTAGCCACCATTCATCCGAGGTGTGGAGGGCAATGTTTTTGCACCTTCCTTGTGTGCCACCCCAAGTTGCCATCTTCTCCTCCTGCTTCCTTTGTTGCTAATCATGACCAGCAACCACTCACTGAAGGGAGGACTCCCAAGATAGAAGCTAAGCTTCCTAGCTAGGCCAGAGACCTGGCACCTCAAGCAATGCCTGCAGGAGAAGTTGGGGACAATCCAGGAAAACACCTGTTCTGTCAAACACCCACCTCAGTGTAAATTATAGCTGTCATCCAGAAGAATTTTGTTGGCCTTGGAATGGACAGCATGGCCCACAGAAAGATCAGAATAGGGAGAACCAAAGTGGAGATGGAAGCAGAGAGGGTGTGGTTTAGAATGATCACAAAATAGCACAGCAGTTCAGATTTAGACACCATGACATTGTACAAAGCAACCCCCAGCTTCAGTGGGCGAGGAAGGCATTCATAAAACCTGTCTGACTGCTCCAACTCATCATCATGAAAAGTCCTGGAACACATTTAAAACATTAAAAAGAAATGCATATTAACTACAATAAGCAACAGCCATGCCTGCCAGCTTGGACCTTTTCAAATTAGCAGCTAACTAGATGCAAAGTCCAACCTCGTGTGATACAAATGAATGTAAATCTATGGATTGCAATAAATAAAACTGTAATAATATTTTAACTGTCACAAGGCTCAAAGACTTTAAAAATGCCAGTTCATAATTAGTAAAGAACATGTACGAGATAGAACAAAATATTATGGCCATAGGAATGAAGAAAAACAAAAAAAATCCTGGATGAAGCCCAGGAAGTACATCCGGTCTGGCCCCAATGCAAGAATATAATTGAACAGTCATTATTCACAATGCATCCTAATTGTGTTTACACAGAAGTAAGTCCTGTTGAGTTCAGTGGGATATACTCCCAGCTAAGTCTATTGCACCTTTTTGTTTGTTTGGGTGTTTATGGATTAGGCTGGGGTGCTAAAATAGCTACAGTACTGTATTTATTCATTTATCAAAAGTACTTATATCCGCCTTTCCACTAAAACCAGCACAAACTTAAGATGTCCTGCAGCCTATTAAAAATAGTAACATCTCAACCATTTAAAAAGAACAAGTAAAACCTGGGAGAGCAGTTAAACACAAGCACGAAAGGATCAGTAAAATAAATTAGGTTCCACTGGCCAAATGCTGCCAGCAAAAGGGAATCCTTGCAAGATGGCAGAAGGCCACCAGAGTGGGAGCAAGATGACGCCCTGCAAGCTAACCCAGGCATGACCACAAGAAAGTACTTTTCTGCCTTATCTCATCCATGGCCACAAATGGTCTGCTAAGAATTGAAAACTCCCTTTGCTGCTTTCAGAAGACCAAAAAAAAAAAAAATCTATGGTGATTTTGAAGAAAAATGACCTTGACTGCCACTCACTGCACTGAGTGCCATCTGTAGAAATCAGATCAAATAAATAAAACTAGAGTTTGGGGACAGCCAAAAACGTCTCTTTTTGTGACCAGAGGGTTGTCTGACTTGGTGGTACATACACTGCACACTCAGAGAATACGCCCAGTTGATTCCCTAGAGTAATCTTCCCCAACCTGGTGAGATGTTGGGTTGCAACCCCCATCTTTCCCAGCTATGCTAGCTGGGAATGATGGGACTTGGAGCCTAACACATTGGAGAGCACCAGGATGGAGAAGAGCTAAAGGCTGACTCTTCAGCATGTCAGCTCCAGGCATTCTGGGGCTTTGTGAGTCATCATGTGCAACTTGAATATATGCTCTTCAAAAGCGACCGCAAGTCGCAGCACAGTATTAGTAGATGCTCGTTAATGACAAAACAATCATCCCTGCCTGTTCAGAAGCAGTTCGCTGGCTGTCATCATCACAGAACCGTTGCTCAGCAGCCTGTCTGCTTCTTTACTTCTAGGGAACAGGAAATCTGTAGATTCCTCTGCTTCTAATGGAGAGCTGCCGAAATGTGCTACTTCTGCACAGGACGAGGCCCATGGGAACTGCTGAGCGGACCTCCCTGCAGAGCTCTGGTCGCCCAGCACCTCCTTTCCTGTTGCAACTGTGCTGGCTTTGCCAAATCTCCTGCTGGATAAAAACACAAAAACAAAACCCTCAAAAGCCCAAAAATTAAATCCCAGCAAAACCTTCATGTCAGTCACAGACTGAAGTTAAATGGTTTGAAGGGAAAAATTAAAATGCATGTAGTATAATTTCATTGATATATTGGGTAGACTTTTAATTGGAATATTTGAAAAAAATTTAAAGACAATACAATATATTTCCCATATTATTTAACTAAAAGGAAGAAAGGTATTAAAAACAGTTGACACACTAATTCAGCCTTCTAGTATCCATCAGTCAGTAGAAGAGTCACCAGGTTGGGAAGCCTGCATCAATTAATTCAAGCAATATAAATAACAGTGCCTGATTTTATTTTGTATTTATTTTATTTACAGCTTGCTTTTTCCCTGCAAGGAACCCATGGAAGCTTGCGTCTTCCTTGACCCTGCCAATCCAGCCACCTCCTATCCCACCACTTTAAGGGCCAGAATACCTTAACCCAAACTTTGTTTAAACAATCATAAATATCACAAGCAGATTAAAAACAACTAGAAAACACAACAATAAAGAAATGAACCCAACAGAATCAGCAGCAGAGCTGACTGTGTGCCAAAGTTCTGCTTAAATAAGCACATTTTTTACTGCTGGCAGAAGAAGGCAGTCTGGACTTCCTCACCAGGACGGTCAAGAGCCCGCGAGCAGGTACCACCCACCTGAGCAGTGGCTCCATGTTCTCCTTGTGCAGGCTTCCATTCATCTCTGTTGTTTCAGTGCTACATCCTCTGGACCCTGGTGGGCTTGTCTCACAGTTATCATGCCAGAGAACTGAGTCTGCGGAGGCCTGGAAAACCCAAGAGGAAGCAGTGAAGCCGGCTGCAAAAGCGTTGTTAGGAGAATCTCTCTGCAATGTTCAGGGTATTCCTGGAATCTTGGAAGAGCAGAGGATGCCGTATGAGGCGAGACTGAGGGAACTGGGCCTCTTCAGCCTGGAGAAGAGGAGACTCAGAGGCGATATGTTGGCGACATTCAGGTACGTGAGGGGATGTCACACGGAGGTGGGTAGAGGCCTGTTCTCCCCTGCAGAGGAAGGCAGGATGCGCTCCAACGGAGCAAAGCTCAGGGAGCCAAGGTTCCGTTTGGATGCCAGGAAGCACTTGATGACAGTCAGGACCCCGAGGGTGTGGAATGGGCTTCCACGAGAGGTGGTGGAGGCCCCATCGGTGCGGGTGTTCAAGGATAGGCTGGACGTCCACATGGTGGGCATGTCGTGAGTGGAGCCGGCTGGAGCCGGGGGTCAGACTAGATGGCCCGGGAGACCCCTTCTGACTCGCTCAGTTTCTATGTCTCTGTTTCACAGAGAAGCTCAAAGCTAGATACACAATTTCACAATGATCTTGTTCTTGGGCTGCAGACTGTGAAAGCAAAGAGTACTTAGCACCAAATCCTGCAGTTAAGTGTGGAATCAGGGAATTCACATAGTATGGCTTTGCATTTATCTATAAACAGGCATTTCAACAGACAATAAACTATCTCTAAAAGGTCAGCATTGAAAATTAGCATTGCACTGTGTCTAGGAGACTGAGCTATAGAGCAGAAGAACACTGGTTTGAGTATCACCTAAAACAGCACAGTCCACTTCAGGAAAGCACTGTGGAGTTCTCCGTGGGATGCATTTAACCCAGTACTTTCCCGGGGCTTCTTTTAGAATTGGGGGAGAATTAGAATATTCTTCACAGAAGGGTTTCTCCCCAGGTGCTTTCCTCTATGCCTATGATGTTTCTATAAGTTTCTTTACACAACACAAGATGGCAATGTGCATAGAGCAGAACTGTGAGTTCTGTAGTGCATGATGCCAGCAACCAGGAAAATAGTCGATTTTCGTCACACCTAAAATAGCTGAAAAAATGGGTAGATGGCAAGGGAGAGGCCCTGGAGGATGAGAGTGTTATGAAACTGCAAACTACCACAAGTGAGGGATCACAAGTGCCCAATAACTACCTCCAGTAGAGAACTCCTCTCTCTCAGCCTTCTAATCAGTTTTATGGAGACAAAAATACTGTTCTACTTTCCACATTTTTGCAAAAATCACAACCATCATGTCATATTTGAAAAGACTGTTGAAATGAAATGCTAGCATCATATTCTGAAATGATGGTAGGACATTGAACAATGAACTTAAACTATAGTACGCCAGGTGCAAGTGTAGACACAAGGAAGAATTTCCTGACTGCGAGAGCAATGTGACAGGGGAACCAGCTGCCAAGCATCTATCGGCAAGCAATTGGACAGTCACCTGATTTGGACGGTGTATCTGGCATCCTGCACTAGCAGTGGGTTGGACTTGATGGCCTTCCTGGCCCCTTCTGACCCAGCTGTTGATGAATCTGTGAAATATTGCTATGGAGAGTCTGGCTGCTTCACTGGAGACTACCACCAAAGCAGCGAAGTGTGATATGAAATTCAGCCAGCAATTCTGAATATGGGGGATGTATGTGAGAATCCAGAAATGGCACATTTGCTTTTCTATGGTGGGCAGCTCCATCCAAGCGCAGAGATCTTACCTTCTCAATCTCTCGCCAAAGCATACACTTTTCTATTCTCAGCACATTTGCAATGTCCAAGTGATCCTTACATAAGGAATTCAGAGCTTCTTCGGTGTCATCTGACAAGGCTTGGCTGAAGACCCAAAGGAACTTGACAATGTTGATGACCCTTTGCTTGATGCTTTCTGCCACAAAGAAAATTTCTGTATTACACGTGTAAGAATAGCAAAGACGCAGACTGCAATCTAAAGATTCTCTTTAAGCGCCTGCCCATTTGGGTTCCTTCTTCTCCTTTGCTCAGCAGAGATTTCAAGGCAGCTTTGCAACATCAAACCAGGTATGGACATAAAAATAAAATATGCATATGAAGTGACATACATCACAATAAAAATGCAAGTGGTCGTAAAAGTACAGTGAAAGTAGAGTAAGCACAGGCATTCAAACTGAGCTTGTAACAAGGTTTTCTCATTTAAAGCTCCCCGACAGAAGCTTCTTCATCAGCCACTTTGTGGGAAGGAAACTCTCTAGCAAAAGTGTCCTTATGGAAAAGGCCCTGTTACTTGTAGTCATCAATTTGGCCTCAAAAGGCAATGAATTCTGGAGCAGGTAGCCTAGTAGGGGGGAAATAATCACCAAAAACAAAGGACTGATGGTATAAAATTTGTATGTGCTAATTTACAAGACTTGGTGTGAAATAATGACTACAACTGAGGTAGAAATTTCAAGGCATCTCAGCAGAGTGGGGAAGACTGTGGCCATGTGACCTCTGTGCCTTCTCCATCTTCTGTGCAGGAGTTAACCATGGATGGACAACTTCAAGGCTCTTCCTGCTCTTGAGTCTTATGGCTGTTTACCTGCAAGGTGGACTTGGACCAGACAAACCTTCAGGTGGAGGACTGCCTTCTGTATCATGGGGCACATGGCCAACCTAAACTTGAGCAATGCCTTGCCCGAGATCTTATCCTTGTGATGCAGAGCAAGAACTGACCTGCCCTACCAAAGACGCCTCCTTGTGGGGCTCCTGGCATATTTGCCACAGCTGTTCCAGTGTTACAACTTTTCCCAAAAACACATTTGCCGACAATTTCCTAGGTATATGATGGAATTACCTACCTATTTTGCTCAAATTGTCCCCAGTCACCAGATTTTCTTCACAAGATTCCATTTTAACCTTGGCTGAGGAACACCAGAGTAAAACATTAGAAAAGCACGCCAGCCTTGTGAACTCAAACCTATACCCTCTCAGGTATGACATGGAAATTCCAATATTATAACTGGAAATTCACCGAGAAAGGTGAAAGGTGAAATTTGAAAATAGAGAGACCCCCTAAGCTTTGTATATACAAGGAGTGGGGTAAGATGGAGGATGTTGTTTGTTCATCTCTTTTTTCAGGGAACTCTGTTATTTCCACTCCAGGCAGAAGTGGTACAAGCCAAGGGTTCAGGGAAAATTGTATCAAGAGGTAAAGTATGTACATACCTTTTCCACTGCTTGACATTTGGTGGTGGTGCTGCTGCTGCTTCTCTTCCTCCTCTTCTTTGTTCTTTTGGTCCCTAATTTCATCCTGCTCTCTCATCCTTAGTGCTGATTGTGAACTGGTTATCCAGGCTTCATATGCAAGCTGTGCAGATACAACAATGCTCATGAACCCTCTCTTCCCCCCCTCCTCTGTGTGTGTGTGTGTGTTGGCAGCTCCTCAAACTACTTTCAAGCATGAGAAAAATGTTCACAATGGCAAGAGTGGCTGCAGTTCCACCTGCGGCCTCACCTACGTCTCTACCCTCTGTTTTGCCTCCAAGTTTGTTGTTTTATTTATTTATGTACAATAGTTATTCAATGTTGTGAGGCTTCGGCAAGGGGCGGCATAGAAATGTTTTAATAAATTAATAAAATAAATAAAAAGTTACATAATGCTACCCTTTGCCAAAGAAAGAAAAAAACCCCTCCAAGGCAGTTCATGATGATGCAACTAAAAAAGACCAGCCAACCAAACAAAATGATTTCCTCCCACTGGTTCTGGGAACATGCCTGCTCTATCTTCCGCATGGCACCAATTCACGAATTGGAAGACAGGACCCATGTCTCGTGCCCCTCGTCTTCTCCAGGCAAAAAACCCGCAGCAATTTCAATCACTTTGTTTCTACCTTAGGAAAGCACCGTACTCAGACTACAGAACTATGCACAAGGAAGGTTTTGCCTGCATAGACTTTAATGGGCATGTGCTGTTAAAAAGCAGAGATGCCTTTGAAACATTTACCTAAAGGATGGTATGCCCTTCACTCCCATGGTACATACTTCCAGAGATGTGCCCCTTCCTTCTGCCCTTATTCTAGGAGCTATCCCTCCCGCAGGGAGGCTCCATGTCCCCCTCCAGCACAAGGGCTGCACCTGGAAAGCTGTTTTCTTCTTAGGGCCGTCTTCCTCAGTTTTTTCAGTGCATTCTTGGTCTTCTTCTTCCTCGCTGTCTGTCTCAAAGAGGCAATAGCTCCCACCTTGGATCCCTGAGGGAAGCAGAGAAAACTTAAGACTTCAAAGGGGCTTGTGAAATGCTGACACAGGCACAAAACTTGCTTCTTCTGTTCTGCATCCATTCCTCGGAAACCACTCCCATTTGGCTTTATGCTCACAGTCAATAGCAAGATAAAACATGACTAAGGATATCAATAAAAACATCATTAACATATTTAAACTTTAAAATACTGGGTTAATAAAAAGGTCTTGACCTGGCGCAAAAACACATATAACATCGGTGCCAGGCAAACCTCTCTAGGGAGCACATTCCACAGCTGGGGTGCCACTGCAGAGAAGGCCCTCCCCCAAGTGTTCTCTCTGCTAACCTCCTTCAAGGAGGGTTCCCAGAGCAGGGCCTCTGCTGCAGATCTCAAGGGGCAGGAGGGCATATAGGGAAAAGGATCAGGGATCCTGATCCCAAGCCATAATTAATTAAACAGCATCAAGCATCAACCAAACAAAAAGAGACTAATGTAATGTAATGAAACAATAGCAGCCTCTACTCCATGGAGACAAAAGGTCAGACTCAGAAAGCCAGCAGTTTCTGAAGTACTGGAAAATTAGGAAATGTACTTGACATGTGAGTCACCCATGGTTGCCACCATGTTTTCTTCTCTTCCTCTTCTTTCCTGCTAGCAGCATCTTTTGCAAAAGGGTCCAGAAAAAGACCTCAGTACAATGTGCCTAAGGAACTGGCAACGAAGGCATTCCCTGAAGACACACGTGATGGATTTCCACACATGTGACTTGTGGGCTTGGTGTACTTTACAGGCTTTGCACAAAAAATTATTTAATTCATGTACTTCGTGCAAAGAAGTCACTAGTCTTTCTGTGTGTTCATTGAGCTGATCACGGATCAGCTCACATCCTGACCAGGGCTGTGCACAGGAGAGATAGATTCTGTCCTGATCTTTGCATGTTAGTTTCAGTCAGAGTGGCTTTGGTCAGGATCCAAAAAAGTATTTCAATCCAAGTATGCATGAAAGATAAATGCATATTTGGAGAGGGATCCGTAGCTCAGAGAAGGAGACACATGCTTTGCATCCAAAAGGTCCCAGGTTCTATCGCTGGCATCCCCAGGTGGGGCTAGGAGAAACTCATGCCTAACCTGGAGAGTCATTGCAGCCACTCAGGGTCAGCCAAGCTGAGTGGACTGATGGTTTGATGCAGAACTTTTCTACATGAGACTTTCAACTTGCCACTTTACTGAGACTTCCAAATTCTTTGCAGAATTAAGACTGGCTCCTTTACACATGTTTTCTTCTGGACTGTCCTTCTGGACTTGACCCATCTATTTTCCTTCTATTTCCATCCAGACTTGCCCTCTGAGTGCAAAACTATTTCTCGCAGGTAGATGCACATAGCAGTGATTGCTGCTATGAGGAAAAAGAACTTTCAGGAAGGGATGGCCTTCAGGGGACAACTTAACCCCTGCTCCCCACTCATATGCTGCTACATCACCACCTCCGAGGGGGTTTAGATGTCCATTTACAAGACAAACACACTTTTTAAATGATTGTGACAAGAGTAGCAGGTTTTCATGACAGTTGTGCAGATATTTATGCAGGAAACTAATAATCAAATGCACTTTGCATCTGAGCTTGTAGTTTCCTGAATGTTTGAGATGCCACAGCTCTGTTCTCCCAGTTTTCAAATGAGGCTGCACTGTATGCACCATGTAAAAGTAAGATTGTTTTTCACCTGGATCTTCCAGTTTTGCAGCTTCTGTTGTTCCTTTTTCTGATCCGTTAATATCATTCTGCTTTGGTTTCAGCAGTTCTACCCTAAAGATTGACAACAGATGAACAGAAGCTGTATTTGACCCAAAGAAGCTTGCAGACTTTTTGAATCCTCAATAACACCTCAGCTCCTTCTTAAACTACAGTGGTACCTTGGCTCACAAACTTAATCTGTTGCAGGACTCTGGTTGTGACCCAAATTGGCCATGAGCCAAGTCAAATTTCCCCATAAGGTTCAATGTAAATAAGGTTAATCCATTCTGTAACTATTTTTTTAATCAGAAAAATGTAAAGCGAAGTGACAAAGAACAACAAAGATTGCAGCCACACCCCCCCCCCCCGCGATTGCGCCCCACATCCCTGCACGTGCCCATCATTCCAGTGCATGGGGGGGGAGATGGGCGTGAACGCAGGCGTGCTGGGGGGAGCGACGGGCGTGAACATGGGCATGCTCGGGGGGCGGGGAAACAGGCGCGATCGCGGTTGCGCTCCTGCAGGAAAGATGGGCGCAATCATGGGCGTGCTTGTGCAGGAAACACGGGTGCGATCTCGGCCATGTCCCCCCCCACCTCCAGCACCCCCTCCCCACTCAGGGGGGTGGGGAGATGGCCACGATCATGGTCGCCACCCAATGCGGCGTGCACGACCTGAGTCAAAAATTTTTGTTTGTGACCCGATTTGGTCATGAACTGAGGCGTTCGTGAGCTGAGGTGCCACTGTATACTTGCAGCGAGAGTTGGGTGAACTCTTGGTGCTGCACCCCACCCAACTCAAAATTAGAATTAGCAAGCCAAGGTATGCGACCCTGCGCAGCCGAAAAACCAGTTGGTCCATTCCAAGCCCAAGCCCAAGCCCAACCCAGGCATGTTCCTAGGTGCCTTCCCAGTCCTGATTTGCCATCCACCAAACAAGCCCTCCACGCATCCTTGCAGTCTGCCCACTACCCCTGTCTATTTACTTGGCTTGGAGGGGATTGCAGAAGCAGCACGGAGGTCTCATTTAAGGCCTCTCGCCATCCCTCTCGCCTGCCGGGACACACCCAGGTGTGAAATACGAGCTTCCCATGGATCCCAACTCCTTTGTGTGGATGCTGATCACCTGCTAATGACAGCTTCTGGAAGAAGAGCTTAATGAGGCCCCTAATGCTAAACTTTTATCCAAGGCAAGCATTGAAAGCCACTAAAATTTATATTCCCAAACCAGAAAATTAAAAATTTCAGCAACACCATTACCTTATATTCTTGCGGGTAAGTATGCATAAAAGCATATCAGATGCCTGTAATTTCTACTGAGCTAGGGCAGTGCTTGTGCTCAAAGAACTAGGTGGTCCTCAATCTCCATGCCTCGCAGCTCGCTGGCATTTAGTCTGCTTGCAAGTGCAGTGGTAAGCACACCTTCCTGCACTGCACCCTGCCTGGGCTTATTGCCCTCAAATATTGAGCACAACTGCATGTTTTTGGGGGGCATGATATTTGTGGGAAGTCGCCAGCTTCCGAGCAACATCTTCGAGTGCACCAAGCCTCTTTCAGAGCAAACGTGGAGGCGGATGGCCAAGAATAAAAGGTCTTGTCTGCTTAACTTTATAACCCAGAGAGACCAGAACTGGGACCAAATACTCAGAACTGTGTAGAATTCATCTCAGAAGTACATGTACTAGGGATGATGGAAAAAATGCCCCAAACATTACAGGCTCGTAGTCCAGACAGATCAGCTGCAAAGGTCTCTATCGCACCTGCCTCGGTCAGTTCCACATCTGTGAATTTAAGGCAGACTTGCCCATTCTGCAGGCTTCCTGATGTGAGGATATAACTCCTATCACCTTCAGCCAACATGATCAAGGGGGTTGATCGAAGTCCGGACCATTGGAAAGATGCCAGTTGAGGGAAAGCTGCTTTTAGGCATTCTAGTTAGCCGGATTCTTCATGCTCCATCACCAATTTTAATCCCCAGGGTATCTCAGATGAGGCTTGTGTGCAAGCGCTCAGCCTCAGTCTTGGAATTTTATGGGGTCCCATCTGCAGTGCTCCCATGTTTTCTCATGGCTTCTTCCCCCCTTTTTCCCTTTCCAAACAAAATGTGTTAAGGATGGAAAGATGAAGAGCTGTCCCATGTCTTTTGACTGGAAGCCATGAGCCAACTGCCTGGACAGTCTCTCACAACAAAAACTGAAAATATGTTGCCTTCAGCTTGCCAAACACTCCTAGGTAAATTTCCCTACAAACCTCAGAATAAATTAGAAGACTTACTTCCTCTTCATGACTTCCATTGAGTTCTTGTCTTCTTGCATCCTGAAAGCGACCATTTTTCTCAGTTTCGCTTCAAATAGCTCTGTTCCTCTGCACAGGTGAAAGAGTTTGGAACAATCTTTAAGTAGCTGTGCTTTGCTAGACCAGGCCAAGATTCCATTTAGTCCATCAGTGACCAGCCAGGGTTTTTCAGGGGTTTTTCCCTCTTCCCACCCCATTTCTATTGTGTCTTTTGAAAGTTTAAACCTGCAGGTAGGGACTATCTTGTTTTCTTCTGGCTGGGAACAGGCTAAAAGTGGCTTTCAGTCAATGAATCAGAAGTCCAGAAGAAGGCCATGAAGTTTTAAAATGTTTTAATTGTATATTCTATATTGTTTTTAATATGGTGTTGTGAACTGCCCAGAAAGCTTTGGCTGTTGAGTGATATAGAAATTAAACAAATAAAATAAATGGATGAATTAGATAATTGATGTGCAACCACATCATTTGTCTCACCCACAGGACTGCTTCCCACAGGAGTCCTGGCAGGGGGTCAAGCCACATGGAAGCGGCAGCCAGCCTGCGCCGGTAACTCACGTGCGGATGCGTTTGGCCAGAGAGGGCGTTCTAGAGCAGTGGATGCTTCAGCAGCCCAGTTCCACCGAAGCGGCATTCAGTTACCCTTCCAGCATGGCTGTATGAATGGGCCCTCTGCTGGTGGCAGTTTCCACCTCCTCTCTCAGTTAAAAAAAGAAAAGAAAAGTGCTCCTATGAGGGCGCATCATGCACCTCGACACACACCTGGCGGCTAAGATCTTGGAAGACTTGAAATCCACTACAACGTAGAGGTAATAGTAGCTCATAAAAATTCTACGCTGAATGAGTAGGAATGTGAAACATGTTGCATCCCAGACTATTCCTGTTTCATTCCCAGGCTGTTCACAAACCTCTTCCTCAGAGTGATCTAGGAAGGAAGAAAATATACACACAGCTTTGCCAGGTGGCCAGGATGTGAGTGGTCCATCGAGTGGTCTTATTGCTAGAATTATTTTTTATATTATTTTATATTATGGCCGGCCCTTTGTTTGCATAGAGATGACAACACTGAGTCAGCAACTGCTGTCAAAGCAGTAAGCACAAACTTCCATTTCAGATCTGCTGTGTGATTCCTGGTTCATAAAGTCCTTCGGAGATCAAAGAAATATTTGCCATGCAAATATGCAAATCAAAGCTTCAGGACGGAAGGCATCTTTACTTGGAGCCATAACTGCACCCACGAAAAGTTGCATACTTGTAAATCGTCTGGTCTGAGATCAAGTATGGCTCTTGCATTCAGGAGGAGGAAATTTCCGGCATTTAGAGCAGTGTTCCCCAGCCTAGTGTTGAGGGGACTGTAGTCTTGTCCCTCCAGGTGTGCTGGAGGGGCTATCTTGACCCACGTTCAGTTCCCAGCACCTCCAGGTAGGTCTGGAAAGAATCTTGCCTAAAACCCCAGATAGTTGCTACCACTCAGTATCACCAACCTGGGCTGGATGCAGCCATGGCCTGAAAGTATGAAGTGGCCTCTTGTACTCCAATATAAGTGCCAATATTCTCAGCCAGCAGGACTATTGGCTGGCATTGGCTGATTGACAGACTAATCAATCCCCACTTGGGAATCAATTAATCATGTGGGGACTAGAACCCAGATCTCCTGGATCCCAGTCCAGCACTCTCACCACTACACTATACTAGCTCTCTGGAAGCTGCAGTCCAAAACAACAAGAAGGCACCAATTTGGAGAACGAGGTCCACTCCTAGCCCAGCTTCACTAAACACATAATGCTTTATCAGCTCTCCGGCCACCGTAAGGCAAGAAATAGACTGTCACCTTCTGAACTTGGACCTGTATTTTAGACACCACGTTCTCATCATGGGGAAGGCATTATGCTAGCCGATGAACAATAAATGGATTAAAAATTCTAGTAAAACAGCATGTTTCACATCACAGAAAAGGCAGATACCTTTCATGATTTTTTTTTAAATTGGAGTATGGAGAAGCTATGTAGAAGTTCTCTTTCTCAATGCAACTTCCTACGTACCTGAATCATATCCTGGTATTGTGCAGAACATGCCAAAGGTCTGAATGAGCCAACAATGGTTTCTTTGCAGTTTAGTAAGGGAGAGAGAGAGAGAGAGAGAGAGAGAGAGAGAGAGAGAGAACGAGAACAGTTTAGTAGAAGCTAATCAGGGAGGTATCAGAATTTTTTGTTCGTAAAACATGTGAACCGCAAAGTACTGAACACAACTGTGAGCAAAAGCAAATCTTCACTTAAAATAGTTGAACTTTGTATACTTGTTGATCTGCACAATTTGCCCAGTTTAATTTTGCACAAATTTCCCCGACAGATTGAATCAGTCCTGCTGTAATTTATGAAGGAAAGTTGCACAAATTAGGAAATTTGGACAAATTTCATGTTTGACTACTGTTAGATTTGAACAATTTTCAAATTCACATGCACCAAACAGCAATTATAAAAACATGAACAAGAATGGGCCATGAGACAGTTACTGAAAAATCCTTCTGATGCTTGCCCATCCTTAAATACAATACAATCCCGTAAATTATAGGCTAGCATTATGAGATACAATTAAATACCTAAAACAACTTGCAGGTTAATAACAGTCTCACCTTTGTACATTACGTACATGTTTGAACAAGCATGCAATACATGCAGTGATGTCATTCAACTAAATCCAGGTTTAGTTTACATGAACTAAATCCATGTTTTAAAAGGGCAATAAAATCAACACATACGTCTCTATAACAAGTCACTGTGGAGGCCCCGCCAGTGGAAAAGTTTGCTTATAAACAAAAAAAGTTTAGTCGAGCTTCAGTTTAGGTGCAATGCAACCTCAGGTTTTTAGGTATCAATAGAGCAGCTCATAAACGAAAGCTCAGAAACAGACTCAGTTCAAGTCTGAGCTTTAAAGAATGCACAAAAGGGAATCTGCCCATGCAAACCACATCCCTTCCTAAATCCAATACCAAGCGTCAGCCCTTCAGCACCTTGCATCCCTCGGGAGTCGGGGCCACCTAACGGCCCTTTCTCTGTCCTCTCTTCCAACAGCTCAACGTCCAGGCCCCAAAGAGGGATTCTCCACTTCCAGGAGGCTCAAGTGAAGTGCTCAGCTTCCCTTCACTGGAAGCCACAGACTGGTAGTTCAACCACCCAGCCTCGCTTCCTTTTCAAAAGAGGCCTTCTGATCAGATTGTCTGGAGCAGCAGTTTCCCCAAGTGAGCTAGAGCTGAAAAGGAGGCAGGCTTATAAGGCAGTCCGCTGATTCACTTCCATTATCAACCAGGAATGGAAGAGAAAATAAAACTGCCAAGGTCACACACTCTTCCTGCACAAATCCATGGTGGCACAATCACATTTATAATACTGATCAAGTTGGGAAAAGTGTGGAAAACAGTCACGGAAGCGTTTCAGGGGTTGGTGCAACTTCCTGATGAGGAACCGTTACAAAAGCTGGGATGGTTTAGCTAGGAAATAGGTAAGACAGACGTGCTCGGCACGAGGGGTGCGGGGGGTGTCGTTTCTCTCATAATACTGGAACAGGGGGCATCCCATGAAGCTGATGAGTGGGAGGTTCAGAAGAAGTACTTCTTCACAAGTGCATAGTTAAATAACAGAATTCACTTCCACAAGATATTTAGTCCAAGTAAATTTAAGTTATTCCAATTAAGTGGCAATTAAATTGGATTAGGATCCAAGTAAACTGCACCATTAATATCCCTGCTCAGTTAACTTGTTTAATTGACTGGGGAGAAATTAAGGACAAATCTTAATTTGGTAGAATTCTGGATTGGGATTTGAAAGATCTGGGTTCTAGTCCCAATCTGGCCGTGAAGCTCAGTGGGTGACTTAAGCCAGTCACTCCCTCTCCACTTAGCTTACCTCACAAGGTTGTTGTGAGGATAAAATGGAGCCATGTAAGCTGCCCTGGGTTCCTTGAAGGGAAAAGGTGGGATATAAATATAATAAAAATAATTGGACCCCCACACACGCACCAGAAAAGGTTCTTCAAGCCAACCTCTACTCCTAGTTATGAATCACCTGCATCTAAAATGAGAAGCTTTAAAGGAAGAGCTTTAAAAGAAGGGCTTCTTGGTCCCTGCTGGAGCTGCAATTATGTGCACAGCTTGCTGGTTCATTGAAGAAGCCTCAGTCCGTGTTCTCGGATCTTGAGGATATTATTACGGGAAGGGGCTGTTATTGCCAGCCTCCACTAGCTTTAAACATATGCAGCCTGATACATACAGCAAGAAGGTTCTTCATCACAATGACCAATGTTGTGTATGCAATCAGATGGTCCCATGGTCTCAGCATGTCTTTGACTGGCTTCAGCTGAAGGTTTCTCCCAAAAAGCGTGAAATAGAAACAGGCGGCGAGATATCCCACGCAGAAGACATTGATTTGTTTGGTCCCGGTCATAAAAGTGAGGTAAAGAGCAAACCAGAAGTGGTACCGGAACACAAGCGCTTTGGCCAAATCCAAATAGGACCTGTGCTGGGAGAAACAACGTACATGTAGCTGGAAGCTGGGAGGACCCCTGGAAATGCTTGCAAGCGGCGACCGACGAACTTGACAAGAACAGAATGAGACTCACTGATCCAGGGATGCAGACTATTCTGGCTTTGTGCTTGCGCCATGGCATTGTACCAGTCTTGGTTATGATGGGGGGGTGGTGACTCTCTTCTTGAATTAGAATCCCCCCTGCACCACACGCCACTGTGTCCACTGTGATGCGGGGGGGGG